CACTCATAATAAGAAATTTCACCTTTTAGGGGTAGGGTTCATCTCCAGAAAAAGGTGGAATCTTAGGAGTACGGGATTAAAATTGGGGAGGTGAAGATGGGGGAGCAGAAGGAGAAAAACTGAGGAAGTAGGCTTTATACCTTACTACCATAACCATGAGAGGGTGTCTTTAACTGGTGTTCCATCCTTAACAGAGATATGGTACTTTGACGACAAAAAATTAATCATCTCTTCCTCAGAAAAAGAATATTTCTTCTCACCTTCTGAATCTTCCATCTTTAAAAAAAATGCAAAAAAATGAGAGGGAAAAAGAATAGACCCTGGGATTGAGTGGACAGATGTAAATGAAGTCAATAAATAAAATAAACAGAAAATAAAAAAAATAAAATAAATAAGTGTTCAAAGAATAAGACACTGAAGCGGAAATATGGGGTAAAATAGACCAGGGAAATACACCTAACTTATGGTGAAAAACCAATAAGTTTATTTTAAATGAAACTCAATAATCAAATTTATTGATGTATTCACAAACAATATTAAAAGCAAGTATAAATGCTTCTATTTACCTGACAACTCTTACCAGAATTGTTTTTAAATCAATACACCTTAAAAAATAATAAAAGGTAACTATGTATTTTACCAAGTACTAACTGTACCAATATTAGTACCTTCAATTCACAAATTCCTGGTTTGAACCAGTACTGGGGATAACCAGTACTAAAACATTTTAATATTCTAAAGGTCAATAATCAAACATATATAATACACCAGTTATATTTGGGCAGATATCTCTTAAATAATTCCTGGTAAATACCAGTACTTATTTATTAAGTATTTCCTGGTTGTCACCAGTACTTACCAATCAATTTATAAAAAAATGTAGAATAATTATTACACTGTAATTCCTGGATGTAACCAGTACTTAAATGACCTAAAAGTAATATACCAAAGAAAAAAATGGGCAGTTCAAATTAAAATGTCTGGGTAAAAAAATAAGGAATTTATTTAGCCAAAAAAAAAAAAATGTCAACAATTAATACCCTTAATCAATTACCAATTACCAGATGACTTGATACTGCTATGCCGTCCAACCAAATGACTTACCAACCAAACAAACGCCAAAAACATAATAAACCGAATAAATCACACGACCGCACTCACTTTCAAACAAAAAATACTTAAACGTGAATTGGTTCTGGGTGTTAATTTGTTAGTTTGTAGAGAAGTAAAGATAGAAAGATTAGAAATAGAATGCAATATATATATATTCAATACACAAAGTAAACAAACACAGTTATCAAGATCCTTAAATTTTTCTAAATATTTTTTTCAAAGTAAACAAATAATTAAAAGACCCTAAAGATTTCTTAAATATCTATTTAAATATATCTATACTATTAATTTTATTGTATCAACCAGATAACTAAAAAAATAAAATCAATGTATATTAATAAGACAAATAGTATTTACATGTATTTACATACACAAAAATAAAATATACACGAAGATATTTACAAACACACATAACAAATAAACAGCAGCAGTATTTTCAAAAAGATTTATCAAAAATATAAACGAAATGGAAGTGAGTTTCTTGTATATAGTATTTTAAACTATCCGAAATTTATGGTTTATCCGAAATTACCTAAAAAAAATATTGAAAAGATCGCGAAATTGTGTGACAAAATTACATTATCGGTGTTTACATAAAATAAATCAAATGACAAGTCCTAGTTAATGAAAGAATAAAAAATTTACCTTGATAGCAACTGAATTAAACCAAAAATTTACTTAAAGATCCTGTAACACATTATTTTTATGGTTTTATATACAAATTATGATGCTCAAATTAAGATTTATCGATATTGTAAAGTTTCAAAAAAAAATTATTTATAAAAGATATTACCGAACTTTAATATTTCATGTAAATAAAGGGAGGTAATTAGAATTTAGTTTTCTATAAATTTTAAGTCAATTTTTCCAATAAGAAATGAATGCATATAAATTAAATGATTACCTTAAATATGTACAAATATTTGCAATATATATTTTACATATTCTTCCATGTTTGCAAATTGACAAATTTGCATAATTACATACATATATAATTCAATGAAGAGTGGTATGCAATCTCAATTACAAAACATACAGGATCTTTAATATATGTATAAATATAAAGAAATTTACCTTGTTATTAAATTTTCCGAAACAGGTCACACAAAATTTGGAATATGGGCCGAAAGTAGTACCTAAGTTAACAAAGAAAAATAGTCCTTACAAAAAATGAAAAATACCGCCAAAAACAATAAAAATAGACAAGAATAAAATATGTACTTACATGATTATAAAAATTCCACAAACACAAAAATAAAATTACAAAATATCACAGTTCAGAGTTCCAAATGTATAAATTCCTCCGCGTCCTAGATATTGCACTTCCAGCTGATGTCTATTTACAAATAAAAGTTTATGTACATGTATTTCTGTCTAGAGGTGTGGCGCGAAAGAGCTCTTATTAAAAATATGGGTGGGGGTGGGGATAGGGGTGGGAGGTATACCTATAGGATGGTAGATCTCTTCTACTGCTGCCTTGGTTGCCGCGGTGATGTCTCTGTGATCTTCCTGGTCCTTAGATTGCCATTGGATCCCAGGTGGCCTCCAACCAGAAAACAGCTCGCCTGGCTCGTCTTCTGAAATCTCGTCGGGGAGCCAATTTGTAGTGTATGCTAAGCAAATGTTTCAAGATCAAACCCACATCTGCATATTTTACTCAATTATTCTTAAGCAGATTTTCAAGCAGGTATGTAGGTATGTAGGCATATATTTCATATTAAGTAAAGTTTGTACCAGTTGTTGGTATACACAATTACAAAGTATACATAATTAAAGAAAAAGCTGTTAACTGTGACTGATATTAAAGCTTGACGCCTGCATGCAAGTTCTACACGTTGTCTTAATGATATTAATATTTGAGCAGTGTATCATGAATATTGTTTATCAAAAGGTTCAAATGTGTAAAACGTACACGAAATTACTGACCTTGTCATTTACACTTGAACTAGAAGGTTTTCTAAAATATAGGTCCTCAATGAGACAAATTATCATTAATATCCTTCAAGAGATTCAAAAGATAAAGAACGCACACGAAATAAACTAATAGGAAATTAGGCTGCAAGATGATAAATTGTCTTCTATTAAAGGGTCCGTTCTTAGGAAGGTCGTATTGAGGACAGGCAGCTTGTTAACAAGCCAGAAAGCTTGTTAACAAGCCGGAAACGCTTGTTTACATTAAGTTTACGCCTAAAGAATTTTCATTATATCATGGTAGTGTTTCTTATCTTTACCAGAAAGAAGTCATTATAAAGGAGCAGAAAATATGTTTAATCTAATATGAACACTTGCATCATTATACTTAAACATCGATTGCAGTCCTTATCTAAATGTACTTTTTTAATACGCTTGCCAAAGATTTGAAGAATAAAGTTAAATCAGTACCTTGAGGAGTAGAAGTTGTCTTGAGCATAGTATCTGTTTACAGTTTTTCCGTTAAAAAGCATTTTTTTATTTTATCATAACTCTTTTGAAAAGTTTGATTGATAGTTCAATCTGCAAAGAGTTTTTTTCCGTACAATAACAGATTAACAGTTAAAATAAGATATTCGAAAGGCCGGTAGGGCCGTTTCAACTTCATGAATTCCCGATTTCATCTTCATCAATTCAAAATTAAAACTTCGTGCATTCCCGTTTTCAAAATACGGAATTCTCGAATTCACGATTCAGCTTCATAAACTCACGACTTCAACTACACGAATTCACGATTTCAACTTCACGAATTCTCGATTTCAACTTCATGTATTCACAATTTCAACTTCACAATTTCAACTTCGTGAATTCACGATTTCAACTCCATGAATTCACGATTTCAACTAAACGTCACGAATTCACGATTTCAACTTCATGAATTCACGATTTCAACTTCACAATTTCAACTTCATGAATTCACGATTTCATCTTCTTGAATTCACGATTTCAACTTCATGAATTCACGATTTCAACTAAACGTCACGAATTCACGATTTCAACTAAACGTCACGAATTCACGATTTCAACTTCATGAATTCACGATTACAACTTCACAATTTCAACTTCGTGAATTCACGATTTCAACTTCAAAAATTCTCGATTTAAACTTCATGAATTCACGATTTCAACTTCACGAATTCAACTTCTTGAATTCACGAATTCAACTTCTTGAATACACGATTTCAACTTCATGAATTCACGATGTCAACTTCACGAATTCAACTTCTTGAATTCACGATTTCAACTTCACGAATTCACGATTTCAACTTCACGAATTCACGATTTCAACCTCACGAATTCACGATTTCAACTTCATGAATTCACGATAATTTCAACTTCACGATTTCAACTTCGTGAGTTCACGATTTCAACTTCACGAATTCACGATTTCAACTTAACGAATTCACGATTTCAACCTCACGAATTCACGATTTCAACTTCACGAAGTTGAATTCGTGAAGTTGAAATCGTGAATTCATGAAGTTGAAATCATGAATTGTGAAGTTGAAATTGAGAATTCATGATGCTGAAATTGGGAATTCATGAAGTTGAAATGTCCCCACTGGTCTTTCGTAATATACCGACAGACGAAATTGTTTACACTATGGAATTTTGCAATTTGAATTTAAACACACTTATATCTGCAAGCACTGACAAATAGTAAAATGCATCTTAGGACTTAAATGTTGTCTTGTTGTATGAAGTAACGCAATGCATGGACATGTTGAGTATATATTTCGATTGCTTTAACTAGCAATCAATAATGTGATTATACTATGTCCATCCATGATGCTTGAAAATCTTTTTTCATTTTACCAAGTACATGAAAATATAGATATAGTGTTAAACTTATACATAAATGATACTGACTCAGTAAAAATATGAAACACAGCTTGTAAAGGCATTTATTTAAACTATAAGAAATTTACATTAAAAATGAGTTTTAATTTCTAAAATGACATGTCCGGTTTTCATTTCCCTTTTAGAGTTCCACATGGTGGTGGTACTGCGTTTTCCCAGTTGCATGTATTTAAGGTTTCGTCAAACACGGTCCCTGAAAGGAATTAACGTAAGAAATTAAACTTAGAACTTAACAACAAGAAAATTGATTCTCGCGAACACTTGGCGTCCACATGAAAACTAATTTTGATTTTAACTGCAAAATTGGGTAGAAAGTTGTATTGAAACTTTGTTGAACCAAATTACGGAAAATATAAAATAAGCCATCCTATGCAAGCTTTTGATGAAGAATTACCAAATATTTACTAAAAGGAAAAAATCTTGGAGCCTTGAAATTAAAACATAACATTGATTGGACTTTGATTTTAAGGTTTTGTTTATAAGTATATATATACATGTTAATGTAATGATTCATTATTTATCTATTTACATACCTTCAGGGCAGAAATTATGTCCTAAAAATTTGTTGTTATTGCACGTGTACCATGTCCTGCAGTTCTGGTCTTTATCAGCATAACGTCCGTCCGGTGAGCTCGTGCAGTCAATAAGCATTCCACATGGGGGTGACACATTCTTGGCGCTTGAAAGAACAATAAAGTTCAGATGACAAAGTTGTGAAGATTTGAAATATTAACAATTCTCTTGAAGTTCCAAGTACATGCTCATACAGAAAATGTAGTATCAAACTTCTGAACCTACTTATAGTTGCCAGGTATTTCTCTTCATTGTAATCGTTTTTGTTTTGACCGTGAGGATCATTGATTCCAGCATATTGAAGATTGAATAGTTCTTAAGCCGTTGCTAGGGGGTGTTTGACAGGTTGCAAGTTTTCATTACCTCTCATAAAAGACTCAATCAAATCGAGTCTGCAATTTTCATGTAATTTTATTAGAGTCATTGCGTGCGAAGGAAATCACATTTTCCAGATTGTTGTGGATGAATTACAAGTGTTTTAACTTACAATGCCGTTTGAAAAATAATTCAAAGGTTTACTAGACAGTTTATGATATAAGTTATTCTTTGAATAATTAATATCTCTGATATAATCAGAAGACTTAGTGTATAGAAAGAGACCGTTTAAACTCTTATTTATTTTGAAAATACTTCTGTCAAATATGCGTTGTCAACCATAGTAGTAGTTTGATGTTTTTATTTTTGTTTTTTTAATGGAAAAATATATATATATGCTTACTCGTCGCACAATCCTGTATTGTTATTATACACCATTTGTTCCGGGCAGTCCACTATGGAAGCAACACCGCCGATACATTTGGCGAAAGACTTGCAGCCAAGTTCGTAATTACCGTCTGCTAACGTTGTGCAATTTACAGCTGATACATGGCCTAAAATTAAAGCCGTGAAATGAAAATATATTTAAAAAAAAATTCAAATAAAAAATACAAGAATAAACCTTCAATACTTAAGATTAATGATTAAATATAATATACACAAATATTTGCAGTACATATTTTACATATTCTTCGATATTTGAAAATAATTATGTACATATATATAATTTCACTTAGTGTGGTTTACCACTTTGATCACAACATACAGGATCTTTAAAATTAGTCTAAAATCGTTTCGAATAGAATAAAAAATTATCAACACGAATCGTATGGCATTAACTTTTGATAAATATTTTTCCTATCTGCAAATGGTATAACTTTAAATATTACTTACCAATAAATGCCGAGGATACAAGAATACAAATCGCTAAATAATTCATGATAAAAAAATTAAAGTTAGCAAGTATTTCAACTAAAATACCATAGAAATGAAACTGAAGTATATTGAAGCAATGAGAGAAATTTGTCAGTATCTCTTAAGGCCCGACAAGGTTCGGTTAGTTTAACCATGACATGCGCAACATAGTTCAGAGACCTTTCTAATGAAAATGTGTCAGAGTTTAATCGTATGCTCAGTGCGGTAGCTGGAGCACCGTCTGTCGGGGATAAAAATAGAGCAAGCTCGATGATTGGCTTATTTTTTCTGGGGTTTACTGATTGCGACGACTGGGAAAGGGATAGCGAAAGAAAAGTCAGATGCTCGTTCATTGGTTACTTTTTTCTGGGACGACAGGGAATGTGTTTTTATTTTTGTCTATACAAATCAGATATCCTCGTGTTTCGATGCTTTTTCTCTTAAATAACAGATCAATAATTGATCATTAAATGATGGAAATGAGCATTTATTTCATATTCCTAAACCAGTTTGGGAGCTTTGCAAAGGAACGACGACGTAAATGTCGTTATCCTAAAAAAACGGTACTCCGAAAGAATGCTGCTTGCAATATAGATTACAGGAGGCTACAATGAATGAATAGAAAATGGTTGCAAGAAATAGGTTGAAAGTGTTTTTGCAATACTTCACATATCGTTAACATTAACCATCCGCTTTGATTTTTGAAGATATTACATTTAGAAATTATATACTAAAATTTGTTTTACCGTAATTGAAACTTAAAAATGAAATCCTAAAAAAGAAGCATTCACTTTACAAATTTCATATTAAAACAAATCACTCGTGATTTTATTTTCTAAAACAAAAAAAAATCCTTCATCGAGCTGTAACTTATAAATCTACTATTCAATAATTGCACTTTTTTTTTTAGAAATTCTTTAGTTATAAACAACCTTAAATTAGTTTAACAGTCTATATGCAATCTTATTTCTCTGAGTAATGCAATGGAACAGAAATAATTATAAATCTATAATTCTCCCGTACGGGCCTTACATACGTTGTATCCCTTAAATCTGATAAAAATAGACTTATCGGGGGTGTGTACGTATTAATAAAGATGCAAATATTTCCGCTACTATGCTTACCTAATAACAAGCAGATTTCCTTAGCGAAAAATTAGATGACATTAGAAATAAACAAACCGTTACGGTCAAATGATATGACAATTAGGGTTGAATGCCACTAAATATATCATGTCATGAATATGACACAACCTATGTAAGAACTAAGATGACCTGCGGGAAAATATTATCATTGCTTGATTATCTTATGGCCTCAATTTAACTTATTTCCCTTCTTTATTCTCGTGGTCAATATTTATTTTTGTTTTCTTTCTTTCTTTCTTTCTTTTTCTTTCTTTCTTTCTTTCTTTCTTTCTTTCTTTCTTTCTTTCTTTCTTTCTTTCTTTCACTCTTTCTTTCTTTCTTTCCATCTTTCTTTCCTTCTTTCTTTCTTTCTTTCTTTCTTTCTTTTACGGACCAACCATTTGAGTGATGAGCAGGACTGTAGATTTCCATACAAATTGAGGTCCAGTCTTGGTTAGAAACAAACACCCATTTGTACACAAATATGCATGTAGAAGTATGTTGAAAAAGACAAGTGCGAATAACGTTTCATAACATATAGAATATTATTGTTAAAAATATTAAATCTATGAACATGAAATGATGCAGGAAAATCGTTTGAATTGATGAACATTAATGATCTTAAAATCCAATTTTAGTTCCGCAAGGTGGCGCTACGTTGCTTTTGTGGTTGCATGTGGACAATGTCTCATCAAAAACCATCCCTGAAATAAAAGAAAACGCAATAATTTTTTTTTTTGCATTTTCGCAAATAAGATACTAGTTGGAAATGCCCTTGCTATTTTAATTTATGTTTAAATTTGATAAAAACGGTGTCATTCGTGAAGCAATGTTGTCAGTCTGATTATTATAGACAGTTACTGTTAGTGTAAGCTGCACTTCTTTAAGGAAAGGAAATGTGGTCAATTTCTTTTAATGGGGTATGCCATTATTTCGTGAAAGAGTGTTTTTTTTTAGCCTAAACATTACCAAAAAATGTTTTCGTTTTAAATACGTCACTTCTGGAAAAGAGGATATGTATTCTTCGTAAAATTTTACAACACTTATTTATTTAACATTATATTAGATTGACTAGACGTTAATCTAATTTACTAATTTTTCAAATAGGGACAAGTGGTTCTTTTTGACTGATATAATTATGGACTGGTGTTCATGGTCTCCTTATTGCTGTCACACATTGCAATATCGTAATGATGACAGATGTGGCTTCCCATATTTTTGTTTTAACGGAAACGATCACGCGGCGCGTTAGTTTATTCGGATATATTTAGAATTTACCCTGTATGTTTTGAATTGGTGAAACTCAACAATTTCACCGATTGTCTCTGATTTACATTGTCAATATCGTAAACACTTTTGTCCAAATGTTTTATCCATTGTATGTGTTTCATCTCGTCTATTTGGTTTATTTGTTAAATAGATGTGTACATCATTACTTATTACAGTTTTGACAGGTTATATGGGCGAAAATAAATGGTAGTTTACATACAAATTTATACAGTAAACTTCCTTTAATATAGAAAAAAATGATATTACTTGCAAAGTTGACAGCAGCCGTGTATAAAATTTATACAAACGTCATGATTATTCAATTAATTCAATGGAAAGAGATGTCAAAAGCGTACGAAAGGCTGGTGGTGGACGTTAGAAACGTGATTTCGCGAAGTTGAATTCACGAAGTTGAAATCTTGAATTCACAAAGCTGAATTTAAGAAGTTGAAATCGTGAATTCGTGAAGTTAAAATTGTGAATTCACAAAGTTGAATTCACGAAGTCGAAATCGTGAATCATGAAGTTAAAAATCGTGAATTCGTCACGTTAAAATTGTGAATTCACAAAGTTGAATTCATGAAATTGAAATCGTTAATTCAATAAGCTGAAAATGTGAATTCGTGAAGTTGAATTCGTGAATTCATGAACTGAAATCGTGAAATCGTGAATTCCGTATTGTGAAAGCATGAGTTCACAGTTAAAATTGTGAATTCACGAAGATGAAATCGGGAATTCACAAAGATGAAATCGGAAATTCACGAAGATGAAATCGGGAATTCACGAAGTTGAAATGTCCACACCGGTCTTTCGTAAAAGCGTTATATACCAGGAAAACATGCTGTGTGTCCTTTATAATTTCTGTCGTGACACGTGAACCATGACGTGCAACCCTGGGTTTTGTCGGCATAATATCCGTCGGGGGTGATTGAACAATCCAATAGAGTTCCACATGGAGGTATCACGTTTGACGGACTGAAATCGTTAAAAAACAAGGATTGTACAAAGGACACAGGAAATGGTAGAATATTACATCATCGCGCACCTGCAAAATGCCAGTCCCAATTGTTTGAAAACACATTTTGCAGGTGCCCGGTGACGAAGTATCTTACCATTGACCAGTAAGGATACTATCTATTATACTCGGCAAGGATCGGCATATTCCGTCTATTTTCAGTGTCTTATTAACATAAGTACGGAAATATCAAGAAATGAAATAAAGATTAACATTAACATGTTTTCTCAAGACTAATTACATGTTATCTTTGGATAAAATGGTCGATTGTTTATATAAAACAACATACTCGTCACACTGTCCATTTAGTTTGTTAAATACGGTCTCTCCTTGACATTCAAGAGTATTAGAGGACACGCCCCCAGTGCACGTTCCGAAAGATGTACAAGTAAGCTCATAGTTGCCGTCTGCTAATCCTGTACAGTTGACCTGTGCCGACACATATCCTGAAAGATTAAATGTGTCTCATACTATGTTTTTTACATACTTTGAATCTTATGGTAGGAATGAAAATCTGTAAAATGTCGTCTACTATATAAGAGTGGTGACGATAGTTTACGAAAATCATTGTATGAGTTACAATCTGATCAATGTCTGCACTTTCCGCTGTTTAGTAAATCTTTCGCTTAAAATGATGAATGGTATCATGCAGATTCAAACATGGTCCAGTCCATCTGAGAATATTAGTGTGATAGCCCAGTGTCATGAGTAAGCATTTACAAAATCAAATTGGTTAAGATCGACGCAAAGTTTGAAGTTAATTTATATGAACAGTCAATTTGCTTAGTAAATGTGTTACAATTCAATTAAAATACTACAATAATAATTTTAAACACTAAGCGTACATAAATTATATATTGAAACTTTACACTAAAATTTAAGCTATTCGCAAATTGTCTAAAACAGAAATGACATCGAAGGATCATAAAGTCTTAAGTTAGCTGTATCAGATACAAATAAAATACTACATGACCTACCAGTTTGTTCAGTATTAGAGTGTGACGCGAAATTCAATTCTCGCACAAAAAAAGAAAAGAAAAAAAAGAAGAAAACAAATATATATTTTGAATTTAGATATAGAAGAATATCTTACCGACAAAAGACGAAAGCAAAAGCATGCGAACCATAACAATATCCATGGTTGGAAACAACATCCGGAAAAAATATCACAGAGTTCTAGATTGTAAAAAAGGAGAGTTCCCACTGACCAAATTTCTCGACAGTCCTTGTTTGTTGACTAACATTCATTAATTATACACGAGTTCTGCACAAATTAGTTCGGTAATTAAACTGAAATAAACTCCGCCCCTATTAAATGCCGTCCAAGCAATAAAATATGAATTTTGAATGATCATGAATGACAATTAAAATACATTTTAATGACTGATTCGAGCATAAATGATGTTATTAACAAAACCATCTTGTATAATGAAGGAGCAAGAAATAATCATAAAAAACAACATTTACATAATATTTATTTGGATAAAGAAAACCTATTTACGACAAGTTCCTTTGACAGTACAAGGGAGACAAAAGTATAATTTATGACATACAAATCAAAAAGTGATTGTCTCATAGGTGTGTAGTATGTACATTAATCATTATTTATTATAATGTTTTAATGTCAACTAATTATTTTTTAAAAAATGTTGTTTTACTAAGTTAACATTCTGATTAATATAGTTTTACCCACAGATCACTTGTGCCATACGAGACCCTAAATCAGGAGTTTTTACGCTAATCTTGTACTAGCATACACCACTGACATTTGTTCAGTTTTTAATTTAGTATTCTTACTTTAAAGTTTAAATTATTTTATTTATTAGAATAATTATTATTTATTTCATTTTGGTAATAAAATAATAATAACTACTAGATGTATTTTTATCATCATCATCATCATCATCATCATCATCATCATCATCATCATCATCATCATCATCATCATCATCATCATCATCATCATTATTGTTATTATTTAAACACATACAATTTTGTGTACATGTATTTGAGTTTATTTATGCACGCGACCGGTTGCCCATATGGCGAGTCCTGCAGAAGAGTGTTAGTCATTTCAGATTTTGGAGGTAAGTGCAACATACAGATACAGAAATATTCCCCAATTCCAGAAGCTTCTCGTCGTTCTTTATCGTGCCAAGTGTTTAAGCACTCATACACGGGAGTTTCATCCGATAGAGTGATAAGTAATTAAAAGGAGGCCAGCGCGGGAATCGAACCCAAATCTCGAGATTACAAGTCTCGCGCTCTTACCGATTGAGCTATGTGGGCTTACCACTTACCACAGCGCAAGGTGTAATAAAATACGATTTTACTTGAGTGTAAGGGACGACTTTTAACTTGAACGAGATAAACATGGAGGGATACTGACCACTGTTAGGAAAACGGGAACCAAAAGAACGGAAAAAAAACACGGCAAAATTAAACCTGTATGCAAGCTCGGGTCCATGGACAGTTGGGCGGTAGTGATAAATGGACCCATTGCAAGAAGTTTTCAACATTTAAATATGAATCTTGTGAAACTGTGTACCAATTTTGTACCGATTTTGCTATGTATGCATTCGTTCTGGAATATTGCATAAACATTGAATAAGTAAGTAGTCGACCTGTCATATAAATATAAAATACTGCCAAAATTTTGAAAAAAAAGTGTTAAAATATGTCTTAAGGCAAAACTTTATCGTATTTGCCAATGATTGTGATTGTAGTTAAAATAAAATGTAGTGCAATATCACATCTATATATCTGAATTATCGTTCAATGTGATATCGATATATGCAGAGCATCTTATATTACATTATATCTTTTCCAAATCCCTTCTTAGTCTCAGAGTAGCCGTGTCGTAGATTGTGTCGTAGAAATCGTCCTCGTTTTCGGAGGTAAAAGTGAGTCTGTCTGACCATACTTTGAACTACACAGCAAACTTAGCCATTAAGTACATCCATAATATTTACGTCAGTGCAAATCAGATAACGATAAACACTGCGATATATCGTGATCATCATCATCATCATCATTATCATCATCATCTTCATCATCAAAATATCAATATTTTAAGATAATTAAATGGATGTCACTTCCGGTTTTGAGAGCGCCCTGCATAACGGGCAGAAACTCTCACATTTGTGCGGTACTTAACTTTGTATGGTTAAGACTATAGCAGCTACCAGTAATTTCACTTAAAAAATAGTTAAAATAACCTTAGTTAAGATTGTTTTATATTATCAGCTATTAACATTGCACAGGAATAAGAAGGTGATTGAACTTTAACATGAACGTATAGATCTTGATACGGAAAAAGAAATCTTAGAATTTTAGCAGTTTGATTTAATTAAAAAGAATAATTGTCTTTGCTCGTGCGGTAACTACTTAGCATGATTAATAAAAATAACCCTGAAATTTACCAAGTATCGTAGCTTTTTGGTTCTTTATTTTCGTCAAACTTTCGAAAAGGACTAAAGGTAAACAACTAGGTGCTCCAAAAAATACAGTCAATTGAGTGGGAAAGCATTTACGTAATGTTTTTGTACAGATATCGTTATTAGAATCATTAGAGATTTCCTTTGTTGTTGTTCAAAAGTACTCAAAATCGACTAATGACCATAACAGTTTCGATAGTAAAAACTTGCAGTTATTCAATTTCTTTTTATTCTGTTTTTCTTTCTTTCTTTCTTTCTTGCGACTAATTATAATTTGAATAATTTCCCAGTTCCCACATTTTTCATGATTTTCATTTATGACTCATGATGAAGAAATACACAAAAAACAGTGAATACGGTATTGCAAATAAAATGAATGAGAATCTGGAAGTTTGTTTCTGTCCCAAAACTCTTACTAATGACGTTTTAAATGAAGAATGGTTTATTGTCTGTATTAACTTCATATGTTGTATTTGCATTACACCGACCCGATTGTAATGTTTTTGGAGAAAAATAAATAAATTAAAAAAATAAATTAATAAAAAATTACCCAATTAATTATCATTAAAGTCTTCTCTAAATGTAACGAAAACTAACAACTTTTTCTGTTTTCATACACAGAGAATAGAAAAAATAAAAAAAACAACATAATAATATATAATGTCTGATTTATTATTAAATAATATTTTGTTAACGACTATCATATTTTGAAATAACTATACTAGAATAAGTTACGTTTTATTTTTAAATATATTTCACAAATTATCAGTTATTATTATCATTTCATACATTATAAAGAAATCACGGAGATGAAGGGTTAATCTCTTTAAAGTTCATATGTTGTTTCTATTTTCCGGATTTGGTTCCGCACGGTGGGGGTACAGCATCTATCCAGTTGCACGTGTGTAAAGATTCGTCAAATACGGTACCTGTGACGGATAAAGAAAAAGAAAGTATTGTAGCATCAACAAATATAATAACCATTCAATGCAAAGAAATAACTTTCCTTTTTCATCCTATAGCATACCCACTTGAAATTTGAATGAATAAAAATTCAAATATAAGTTAATCATTAGAAGAGACCTAATAAGAAGAGTAACGAAATATACGCTTGATGTCAAACCTGTCTTTAAAGTCCATAAATGATAACGGAAAGATGAGCTTGTTGGCGGTCTTTCTATGCAGGTAATTAGAAAATAAGGTTTTCCCTTGTTATATGTCTTTAAGAGCATTGAAATCTGCAAAATTATATAATTTATAACATTTAAATCTATCATTTCTAAAGATGATTTTTTTTCTCGAAAACTACTAATCCGCATTTTAAATCTTAGATTTTTTTAAAGTATTTTGTGATATTTTGTTTATACTCTGTAAGTTGTTCTTACCGGAAGGACAGAAATTGTGTCCTAAGAATTTCTTGTCGTTGCAAGTATACCATGTAGCACAGTTCTGATCCTTGTCAGCGTACTGTCCGTCGGCGGTACTGGAACAGTCGATAAGATTACCGCATGGTGGCGCCACATTCTTTGGACTGTTAATGAAAAATGTAAACAATGTTATATTGACGCAGATTATTGTGTGTTACATAATCATTGTTTATGTTATATTAACTGTAAGATTTATTTTTTAAAATCACTCCCATGTGACACTTACACTTGGAACACGTTTATTGTAAAGAAAGTTTAAGCCTAACAGAGTAAAGCTAAATATTTTAAAAGCAACAAAGACAAAGGTTTTCTCATGTCGTTCCTGTTTTATAATATTCAAATGATATAAGATGTGATTAATGACGTGTTTCTGTTTTACATTGCTTTTAAATGGTATACATGGTATATATTGACGTCATATTCAACATCTGCACTTGCAAATTTGAACAAAAAATAATTGAGCCGCGACATGACAAAACCAACATAATGGGTTTGCGACCAGCATCCGCGCAGTCTGGTCAGGATCCATGCTGTTCGCTATCAGTTTCTCTACTTGTAAAAGGATTTGTAAGCGAACAGCATGGATCCTGATCAGACTGCGCGGATGCGCAGGCTGGTCTGGATCCATGCTGGTCGCAAACCCATTATGATGGTTTTGTCATGGCGCCGCTCAAGTATAATTTGATTACTTACTCATCACACATTCCTGTGTTGTTGTTATATACATTGTGTTCTGGACAGTCCACAATGGATGACACGCCCCCAACACATTTTGCGAAAGACTTGCAGCCAAGTTCGTAGTTTCCGTCAGATAAAGTTGTACAATTTACTGCCGATGCATAGCCTGAAATTTATTGTACGACGTTTAGTTTATACAAATTTATTTTAGTTCGATTGTGTTGGAAGCTATATGCTCAATTTCGTTACTGGAATCAACCCGTACTAAGCAATGAATGTAAAGTTTCTTGCTCAAGCAAACAACTGCTTGTCCTTGACAGGGTTTGAACCCGGGCAGTCAGTAATCCATAGATTACTAGTCCGACAGTTTATTTTTAAAGTGACATTATGCCCATCCAAGAAGTAAATGGTAAATAGCTTAATTTTGGTTACATTTTTTTTCAAATTTTATGAGTAATCAATAATCCACAATCAACACAAATATTTAAAAATATCCCTCGGAAATTATCGGCAATGTTCAATTTATAAAAAGTGTGGGCGTTTGTTTATATTTAAAGCAATTTTTATTTATTTCATCCTAAAATTTGTAATTATCAATAAGTGTTCAATTGCCATTAAAATAGTCAATCTTTTGAAATATACAACTTGTTTATACCACTTTAATAACAGTGAAAAAATTACCATAATGTCACTTTAAACTAGAAGAAACGAAGTAACAACAACAACTTTGAGTTATCGTCTGCTTTTTGAAACATCCGTGCGTGTAAGTAAGAGTTATAGAAAAAATTTACTTTAAAAATCTTAAGTTCAACACATTTTGCTTAAAATCATTTAATGTTCACAGAGCATTGTGAATATCTTAATATTCCTCAAACTATCTATGTATTTTCATGAAAAAATAAGAAACATTGCCAAAATCTTGTTTTCTTATCCATTAAAATGTTTCTGAATACCTTTATACATTTATACTCTTTTATATCTGAGAACATATGAGCCGCGTCACGACAAAACCAACATAGTGCGTTTGCGACCACCATGGATCCAGACCAGCCTGCGCATCCGCGCAGTCTGATCAGGATCCATGCTGTTCGCTATCAGTTTCTCTACTTGAAATAGGGTTGGTAAGCGAACAGCAAGGACCTGATCAGACTGCGCGGATGCGCAGGCTGGTCTGGATCTATGCTGGTCGCAAACGCATTATGTTGGTTTTGTCGTGACGCGGCTCATATGTTCTCAGATATAAAAGAGTATAAATGTATAAAGGTATTAAAGACGAAAGCAATAGCATTCGAGCCATCAAAATATTCATACTTGGTATAACCATGCGAAAAAAATACACGAGTCTAGATTGTGATAAAAAGAGTTCGCCACTGAACAAATTCTCCGAAGCTTGTTTTGTTGACTACATTCATTAATTATACCACGGAGTTGCTGCAACAAACTATGTTCAGGTAATTAAACTGAATAAAAGTCCGCCCCTATTTAAATTGCCGTGCCAAGCAATAAAATATGATTTTGGGATGATCATTGATGACAATTTAAAATACATTTATGACTCTGATTCGTGCATAAATATGTTATTAACAAAAAACCATGCTGTTATAAATGAAGGAGCAAGGAACATAATCACTATAAAAAAACAAACATATTCACATACATTTATTTCGGATAAAGAATCCTATTTACGAACAGTTCCTTTACAGTACAAGGGAGACCCGAAAAGTAAATTTATGGACTTACGAATCAAAGTGATTGTCTCTAGGTGTGTGTATGGTACTTAATCCCATTATGTTTTAGTAAGTTTTTATGTCAACTATTATTTTTTTAAAATGTTGGTTTTACTGAGTTACATTCGATTTATATAGTTTTAGCCACGTAGATCACTTGTGCCATAACGAGATTACCTAAATCAGGAAGTTCTTTACGCTTAACTCTGTTGTCTAGCATACCACCACTGACAATTTGATTCAGTTTTTATTTGTATTCTTACTTTAAGTTTAAATATTTTATTATTAGAATAATTATTATTTATTTCATTTTGGTAATAAAAATAATAATAACTACTAGATGTATTTTTATCATCATCATCATCAATCATCATCATCATCATCATCATCATCATCATCATCATCATCATTCATCATCATCATCATCATCATCATTATTGTTATTATTTAAACACATACAATTTTGTGTACATGTATTTGAGTTTATTTATGCACGCGAGACCGGTTGCCCATATGGCGAGTCCTGCAGAAAGAGTGTTAGTCATTTCAGATTTTGGAGGTAAGTGCAACATACAGATACAGAAATATTCCCCAATTCCAGAAGCTTCTCGTCGTTCTTTAAATCGTGCCAAGTGTGTTTAAGCACTCATACACGGGAGTTTCATCCGATAGAGTGATAAGTAATTAAAAGGAGGCCAGCGCGGGGAATCGAACCCCAAATCTCGAGATTACAAGTCTCGCGCTCTTACCGATTGAGCTATGTGGGCTTACCACTTACCACAGCGCAAGGTGTAATAAAATACGATTTTACTTGAGTGTAAGGGACGACTTTTAACTTGAACGAGATAAACATGGCAGGGATACTGACCACTGTTAGGAAACGGGAAACCAAAAGAACGGAAAAAAAAACACGCAAAATTAACCTGGTATGGGGGCAAGCTGCGGGTCCGATGGACAGTTGGGCGGTAGTGATAAATGGATACCATTGCAAGAAGTTTTCAAATTTAAATATGAAAATCTTGTGAAAAACTGTGTACCAATTTTTGTACCGATTTTGTAATGTATGCATTCGTTCTGGAAATATTGCCATAAAAATTGGAATAAGTAAGTAGTCGACCTGTCATATAAATATAAAATACTGCCAAAATTTTGAAAAAAAAAAGTGTTAAAATATGTCTTAAGGCAAAACGGTTTATCGTATTTGCCAAGATTGTGATTAGTAGTATAAAAGTAAAATGTCAGAGAGCAATGAGTCACATCAATATAATCTGAAATTATGCATTCATTGTTTGATATTCAGATATATGCAGAGCATCTTTATATTCATTATACTCATTTTCAAATCCCTTCTTAGTCTCGGTAGCCGTGTCGTGATTGTGTCGTAAATTCGTCTCGTTTTCGGAGGGTAAAGTGAGTCTGTCTGACCATGACTTATGAACTACACAGCAAACTTAGCATTACAGTATCCATAAGTATTACGTGCAGTGCAATCAGATACGATACCTGCGATATATTCGTGATCTCGATCATCGATCATCATTAATATCATCATCTCATCACCTCAACAATATCAATATTTTAAGTAATTCAAATGGATGCTTCCACTTCGGTTTGAGAGCGCTGGCATAACGGCAGAACTCTCACATTTGGTTGCCGTGGTACGTATAACTTTGTATGGTTAAGACTATGCAGCTACCGAGTGATTTCATCTTTAAAAAATAGTTAAATACCTTAGTTAAGATTGTTTTATTTATGGATAACATTGCAGAAAGAAGGTGATTGAACTTAATGATCGTCTAGATTTGTCGGAAAAAGATCTTACGATTTAGCGTTTGATTTAATTAAAGAATATATTGTGGCTTTGCTGTGCCAGGTAACTACTAGCGATGATTAAAAAAACATAACCCTGAAAATTTACCAAGTATCGTAGCTTTTCTGGCTGCTTTATTTGTCGTCACACTTTTTCGACACAAGGACTAAAGGTAAACAATAGGTTGCTCCAAAAAAAACTCTTTCTCTCATGGGAAGCATTTTACGTAATGTTTTTGTACAGATATCTTATTAGAATCATTAGAGATTTCGTTATGTTGTTGTTCAAAAATACTCAATCGACTATGACATAACGTTTCGGATATAAACTTGCAGTTATTCATTTCTTTTTATTTGTTGTTTTTTCTTCTTCTTTCTTGCGACTAATTTATTTGATAATTTGCCGGTTCCACATTTTTCATGATTTTCTTTATGATCATGATGAAGAATACACAAGACATGACGTACGGTATTGGCCAGAATAGAATATGAATGAGGAGATCTGGAAGTTTGTTTTCTGTCCAAAACTCCTTAACTAATGGCGTTTTAAGTGGAAGAAATGGTATTAGATTGTCTGTGATTAACTTCAGTATGTGCGTATTTGCCATATACACGCCGACGCCGATTGTAAATGGTTTTTGCGAGAAAAAATAATTATCGAAATTAACAAATAAAGTTAATAAAAATTAGCCAATTATTCATTAAGCTTTCTCAATGTGTGACGAAAAACTAACAACTTTTTTTGTGTTTCATACGACAGAGAATAAAGAAATCATAAAATATAATGTTCCTGATTTATTATATATTTTTGTTAGCTATCAAATTTTGAAATATATACTAGAATAGAGTTACGGTTGCTTAATTTTTAATATAATTTTCACAATTTAATCATTTATTATCATTTCATACATTATAAAGAAATCACGGACGAATGAAGGTTAAATCTCTTTAAATTAGTATGTTTTCCATTGTTCGGAATTTGGTTCCGCACTGGTGGGGGATAGCAGCATACTATCCATTGCACGTGTGTAAAGATCGTCGAATGACCTAGTCCTGTGCACGGACTAAAGAAAAAGAAAGGTACTGTAGCATCAACAAATATAATAACATTCAATGCAAAGAAATAAATTTCTTTTTCATCATATAGGGCATTACCATTTGAATTTGAAATGATAAAATTTCAAATATAAGTTAATCATTAGAGCAGCCTATATAGAAGAGTAAACGAAATATACGCTTAGATGTCAAACCTGGTCTTTAAAGTCATAAATGATACGGAAAGATGAGCTTGTTTGGCGGTCTTTCTATGCAGGTAATTAGAAAATAAGGTTTCCTTGTTATTATGTCTTTAAGAGCATTGAAATCTGCAAAATTATATAATTTATAACATTTAAATCTATCATTTCTAAAGATGATTTTTTTCTCGAAAACTACTAATCCGCATTTTAAATCTTAGATTTTTTTCAACAGTATTTTGTGATATTTGTTTTATACTCTGTAGTTGTTCTTACCGGAAGGACAGAAATTGTTGTCCTAAGAATTCTTGTGCGTTTGCAAGTACTACCATGTAGCACAGTTCTGAATCCTTGTCAGCGTACTGTCCGTCGGCGGGGTACTGGAACGTCGGATAAGATTACCGCATGGTGGCGCCCTTCTTGGACTGTTAATGAAAAATGTAAACAATGTTATATTGACGCAGATTATTGTGTGTTACATAATCATTGTTTATGTTATATTAACTGTAAGATTTATTTTTTAAAATCACTCCCATGTGACACTTACACTTGGAACACGTTTATTGTAAAGAAAGTTTAAGCCTAACAGAGTAAAGCTAAATATTTTAAAAGCAACAAAGACAAAGGTTTTCTCATGTCGTTCCTGTTTTATAATATTCAAATGATATAAGATGTGATTAATGACGTGTTTTTGTTACTTGTTTTTATGTATACATGGTATATTATTGAGTCATTCACATCTGCACTTGCAAAGTTTGAGGACAAAATATTGGCGCGACGAGTGACAGAAACCACATATGGTATTGCGCAGCCAGCTCGCTCAGTCTGTCAGGATCCGATGCTGGGTTCGGCTAGTCCAGTTTGTCTATTGTAAAGGATTTGTAAGCGCAAGGCAATGGTCCTGATTAGGACGTGCGCCGCATGGCAGGTGTCTGATCCATGCTGGTCGCAAACCCCATTATGAGTGGTATTGTCATGCGCCGCTCAAGTTAATTTGATTACATTACTCATTCACACAATTTCCTGTGTCTGTGTTATTACATTGTTTCTGAGCAGTCCAGCACATGGATGACCGGCCCCCAGACAGTTTTGCGAAAGACTTGCAGCCAAGTTCTAGTTCGTGCAGATAAGTTGTACAATTTACTGCCGTGCATAGCCGGAAATTTTGGTACGACGTTTAGTTTATACATTTTTTTGGTTCGATTTGGGAAGCTATCATGCTCAATTTCTGTACTGGAATCAACGTACTAAGCAATGAATGTAAAGTTTCTTGCTCAAGCAAAACAACTGCTTGTCCTTGACAGGGTTTGAACCCGGGCAGTCAGTAAATCCATAGAATTACTAGTCCGACAGTTTATTTTAAAGTGACATTATTGCCCCATCCAAGAAGTAAATGGTAAACTAGCTTAATTTTGGTTACATTTTTTTTCAAAATTTTATGAGTAATCAATAATCCACAATCCAACACAAATATTTAAAAATATCCCTCGGAAATTATCGGGCAATGTTCAATTTATAAAAAGTGTGGGCGTTTTGTTTATATTTAAGCAATTTTAGGTTATTTCATCCTAAAATTTGTAATTATCAATAAGTGTTCCCAATTGCCATTAAAATAGTCAATCTTTTGAAATATACAACTTGTTATACCACTTTAATAACAGTGAAAAAGATTACCATTAATGTCAACTTTTAAACTAGAAGCAACGAAAATAACAACAACAACTTTGAGTTATCGTCTGCTTTTGAAAATCCGTGCGTGTACAGTAAGTAAGAGTTATAGGAAAAAATTTAAACTTTAAAAATCTTAATTTCAAACGACATTTTGCATAAAATCATTTAAGTTCACAGAGCATTGTGAGATCTTAACTAATTCCTAAACTATTTAATGTATTTTCATGAAAAACTAAGAAACAATTGCCAAAACTTGTTTTTCTTCATCCATTAACAATGCTTTCTGGCAATACCTGTATACATTTATTTTTTTACACTCTTTTTTTTTATATTGTTTTTTTTTTCTTTTTGGGCTTGGAGAAGGAACTATGGAGCCGGGCGTTCACGACAAACCAACATAGGTGCGTTTGGGACGACGCATAGGATTCCAGACCAGCCTGCGCATCGCGCAGTCCTGTCAGGATCCATGCTGTTCGCTAATCAGTTTCTCTACTTGAAATAGGTTGTAAGCGAACAGCAAGGACCTGATCAGGAACTGCGCGGATGCGCAGGCTGGTCTGGATCCATGCTGGTCGCAAACGCACTATGTTGGTTTTGTCTTGACGCGGCTCATATATGAACGTAGCATTCTTTTCCTGAAATATTACTTAACTATATGAAATCTTGAAGAATATAAGATATTTAAGATTTTGATAATTGATCGTAACTCAATATTGTAGTTTCTAGTTATAATGACAGAAATAAAATAATTAAAATAAGTAAAGTAAAAACTTACCGACAAAGGCAGAAAGCAATACTGTGCAAATCACAATTTTATTCATGATGAAAGTTAATAAATATTTAACGATGAAAATGTTATATCTATCTCCGACTGAACAGTCTGTTGGTCATACCTTTATACCAAAAGTTTGCCTATGGTTTTTGCACTTTGGACCTTTGAGGCCCGTCTGAGATAGTTCTAATAGTTGCTCCTAATTCTCGATCATTCTGTGAAAGAAAACTTTATCCTAAAAATTACAATATTTGTCAATCATACTCGATTATTGTTTGAAACCAAGCACAGGGAATTTATATATAATAATGGCATCCTTTCCTTAGTCTATTAACAATGATTTATTGCATTTTTCTTCAGATTGATATTTCCCGCGACCTATGACCTCAAAAACACGGTAATGTAACAAAGTAAAAAAGACAAATTAGTCTAACTATAAATGAACTGTTGTGATGTAAAGTTTAAACATATTAATATAAGATTTGGCCTTGGTTTTCTTGGCAATATGAGACTGAGTATATTTAGTATTAATTTGTTTAGTTCGCTTGTGTTTTGAACGCTTTTTAGCCTTATTGTATCACTGCGAATCTGTCCGTAGAAGAAACCAGTACTAAGCAATGAAAGTGTAAAATTTGTCTGAACCCATAAGAAAACAACGGCGATATCTAATCGAACAAGGCTCACTGTAAATTAAAAACGACTTTGTATGTCACGATATATTTTGATATATATTAATAGATGATACGGAACGGTTTGAAAATAGAGTGTTTTTTAAAAAAAATAATTGAGACTTATTATGCTACATTTCAAAGGCTATAGCAACATAAATAAACGAATAGTAACAGGGTCATTCATGTACATGTGTGTTAAACACAATGGAGCAAGGTTCTTTAGGTTTTAACCAAAAGACTATTCGTGATTTTTGTTACATTAGCAAAACTGTTCGACTTTTAAAAGACGTTATGTTATTTTTTTGCAATTCAAGTTGCCTTTCAATTAGTAATAAATATTTTAAGAATTGACTGTTATATTGATGTGGATTGACCACTATTTACATGAAAAAATGTTTAGGAAATCAGTATAAAAACTTCCCCGTGTAAAGTAGAATCTACGTTACAATAGAGAGAATGTCCCCACTCCTTTTAAATTTAGATTGGGACGAGGACTGATACATTTCGAACAATATTGATGGAAATATCCGTGGGTCACATAATTATTGATTATTTGCATGTTATAAAAATAAACACACAATTATTGGCAAAATTTAAGGTTATTCTGACTTAAACCTGTGCTCACCATTCAAAATTGAATTATCATAAATGTTTCTTTATCTATATTATATTTATGCTGTAGCGTATGTCCTCGAACTAAAGTTTATAAAATCCATTTTAAATGAGAATCAGGGCCTCACAAATCGCAAGCGCAATCATCAAAACGTTTTATCAGGGGAGTATACTGCCCTTTAGTGTCACATAGTTCCCGCTACTAAGTTTATTAAATGACAATTAAAGTTCCACCTTGTTCATATCATCAAATGAATTAATGAACTTATTTGATAGATGGGTGGCGGCTATCCAACAGACAACGTGGAAAACAACGCTAGTTTCGTCCGTCCTGTCGAACCATAACCACTGGCAAAGGAGCTGGACATCATACAAAACGACGTTTAGGCGGCCTATTTTTCATTAAAATTGCGTAAAGAACAGTTGCAAAAAACGAACAACCAAAACTACTTAAGAATATGTAAATCAATTTAGACGTTTGTAACGGTGTACTTCTTCATGTTGGCGTTAGATAACGAAAATGGATTATTAAATGGTTTTTAGGCGATCCTGTAAACTGCCATGTCATTCGTCGATTTTAGGTGAGATGAATTTATGTTATAAATGAGTCCATGGCGTGGTTTGTATGGGTATTGGAGTAGATGCGAAACGAATATAAAGCAACAATATTCCCGGTCATTTCAAAATGTGTATGGTAAATTAAAGTTTTGATTATGAATTACTTATACCAACAATGATATTATATTATTCCAACGAAATTTATTTTGTTGTAATATGTCTTCAGTTGAGAAAACTATAAAATTTATTGCAAAGAGCAATACATTAATTTTCAAAATATATTAATTGCTGAAGTTTACATAATGAATAAATAATTAAACGCTGTGTAAACTACTTGAACATCAGGACCCTATTGGCCGTACACGATGGTTTAATTTAATATTTTATTTACCACACTGTTAAGTGGTGTGTGTATCTTATGTTATAGGTCATCGCGTTCAAAGGCACTGAGAGGTTCGGACCGTCCCCGGATGTTGAGGTTATGTTGGGCTTCACAACCGAAACATTTGTGTTTCCGGGTGCCCGAGATTGATGCAACGGTGTACATCTACAAGAGGCTTCGGAGGCCCACGAGCGGATACACGACTTTTCCCATTAGGGAGGCATCTTAAAGTAAGGTGATAACTTTGGAATTATAATCAGTCGTGAATATTATTGATTTTAAAGTTGCTTGCCTCCAGGTAAGCCAAAATGTTTTAAGAAAATCAAACTTAGGGGAAAATGTACAAATATTTTACAGAAAAGGGAAAAAAGATTCAGGGATAGGTGACGTACAGTGGTAATATTCGATTTTGACTGATTTTAATGTATTAACCTTTTTAACGAGGATGGATAACGGTTTTTTGATTTTTGGTCTCTCTTTGGTACTTCGTGGAATAATGTTTTTAACGAATGTTTTTAAAAAGTTGATTTGTTTTGGTAGTTTGCGCAGTATGTGTTGGTTTGTGAAACGTATTTAAAAGTAGTTTCGGGATGAAAAGTAGCATGAAGTCTGGCGCGGATGCTGCTTCTAAAAAGAGGATGAGTGTCACATAATGACTAGTGGGTTTCAGTCATGTAAGCTGGTCACGGCTTGTGTATGTAGTCATAGGTATGAATTTTCATGTGAAAGATATTGTGTTTTATGTTAGGATTACATTGATGATAAAAGGGTGTGTTACAAGAATAAAGGTTAAAGAGATAATTTCTTGAATGAATAAAAGTATTGGATGATATTTTAAATGAATAAGATATTGGATAATTTCTTAAATGAATAAAGTATTGGATGATTTTTTAAATGAATACAGTTTAAGAAACACGTTTCAAAGGTAATATAACCAGCTGCTAAATGAAGGTTATATAGCAAACAACTGTTTACATACGATCATAAAACCTGTCGAAAAGCCCTTTTAACGGACTTATTATTGTTTATTTTTGCTTTCTTGATGATAAAGTTAATTCATGATGTTGCAGTGTGTATGGATGATAGAAACTTCACTTTAATGCCCTTGGGCGCGTGTAAGAAGTAGCAGAGATTTTAGAGCGAAGATGGGGATAATTAGGCGAAAAAATAGTAATTATGAAGGTCAGAGAAAGAATGCGGGGCAAACAATTCGAATCCTAGCATTTATTATATACTCTATAAAGGAAATATGGAGAATATTGATGAAATAAATGCGATTATTTTTATTTTTCCACATTTTCACTGTAAAAAAAAAATAATTTTCACTGCAATGCAACATATTTTCCGTATTTTCACTGGTGTCTTGCGGGCTACTTTCTTCGTAATTCAGCCACTATAATAATATCATTGGAATTAGTAATTCATAGTAACATGATCAAGTGCTTTTACATTTATACAATCTTTTTTTTTTTTGAAGAATTGGTGTTGTTGTTAAATTCAGTTTTTCCCTCTGAAAGTTTTAAAGGCACGACCCTAAAAAACTGTTTAAAATTTGGGAGTTAATTTTTGTCACGCATTTTGCAAGTGTATAGAAAAACTTAATATAAAGTTTGCGTAAACATGGCTTACACTGATATAATTTAATTTTACGATTTTAATGTAAAGTTTTTACATCTGGACATTTTAACAGACCAAGCTTTCAACGCTTCAGCCAATGACGACCAAGTTTACATATTTTCGGATTGATATAGTTCGAAAGCGTGCTGTAAGAATTAAATTGTTATGTATGCATCGTGCTATATGACTTAGATAATAATACCAAAATATAGGGTGAGACCTAGTGTACCAAAGTATGTGCCTGATAATTTATCTTTATTCATAGTAATACTTTAATCCTTTTGTAATGCAACTACTCAGATAAATAGGTAAGCAAATAGTTACAATTTCATTTTTACAAATATTCAACGAATGTGAAATTTGAAATTTTCAGAAACAGAAATTCATAAGCATTCAACTGGTTAAATTTATCATTAAAAAGTTTTTTATTATAATAATACTCACAATTCTTTTTTTAAAGATGTACGGGAATTTTAGCAACAGTATATTTGTGTTCGTGATTTTTATTTCTACATTTTCAAGTAAGTATTTTTTTAAATATTTGTTACAAAATTTGCACTGATAAAATGTGCTTTTTATTTCACACGAATGGAATACAGTAGCTATATTGTATGTTACTATTTTTGTACCTTTAATATCACGTGACGTTCTAGTTTCTAAAATAACTTCGGTAATAATTCTTCTTGTTGTTCTTTGCATGTTTCATCCAAATATTTAATGTGAAATAATCTGCCTAACATAATAACTGAAACAAACAAGAATTTTAATAATGTTATAAGTATGATAACTCAAATTTTAATTATTTTCTTCAAGAGAATTTCTTCTATAAGCAAGCTTAATTACCTTTTAGCGATAGTCTGTAACAAATACTTGCTAACTAAGCAAAATAGTATGACATTAGAACTCATAACATGGAGACCAATATTCACGACATATTTCTGGGCAGGAACGGACGGACACACACCCCATGAAATAAAGAGATATTCAGAATAATTCTATGTAACTAGAATGTCGAGTTCTTCATGTAAGAACAACTTGATCATGACGCTTAAGGAGAGATAGAGATGGTGTTTTATGAAGACAGCTTTGTCCTAATTAGATTGCTAGTCAGAAGAAATAAGTAAACTTATGGAGGGCTTAAAATCACTTTTTTGGTAACGATCAATTTACTGGCTGAGAAATTAAGGATTTTTCAACCAAAACATCTAACGTTTTACATTTCCTCGTATTCCTACGTGGCTTGGAATCTAACATAATTTTACTGACTTAGTTTTTTGAAAAGTACCAAGAAAACGCAAAAGGAGTTTCTTAGTGATAATATTATCGGACATTCGATTTTTAATTGATGATAGTCCAGATGCAAAAATGATTTCTAAAGTGGGCTGCACCTACTTTGCAACCATCCTTTGAACCGTTCGTGTAAATTTCTATAAAAATCTTCATATTCTATTTTTGAATTTTGACAATTTCAGGATAATTGGATGACTTTTTAAAATTGGAAATCTTATGTTAATTTCTGGGGATTTGCGAGTCTTCTGAGAAATATCTTCTGAAGAAGAATATATTTTGGGTCTATTTTATGGCTTATTTGCTATGATTTTATTTAAAAATTCCTTTTTTAGTGAGATTTATTACTTTTATTCACGTAAGGGTTGGATTTCAGTATTACGTTTCGGATGCACGTAATTGCTAATAGCTTTTTGATGTATGTTTGCAAATACCGATTACACGGATGTGGAAAGTGAATCATATGTGTTATCGAAAAATGAAAACTCATTGATACGGTATTTTGACTTCGAAGTTGTCATCGACAAACGTACGACAAAGCGAGATTTCACTTCATTTTCCACATTTCTTAAAGGCACTTTATGCCTCTGAAATCCGTATTTCTTTAAAAAAAAATCTTCATCGTGTTTTCATCATCGTACCATCATGCATCGCGGGTACAGACTAAATAAAAAATCACGATTGTCCAATCGGAACACCGTAGTTATGGCATGTGGAAATGAAAAGTTATATATTGAAACTCCATTCAACTATTTAAATTTTGTAGACGAATATCGTTCTTTTTTGTTTACCAAAAAGTACATATATATACGGTGGCACAAAGGTGACATGTGTGTGTTTTTATTTATCTCGTGGTCACGAGTTACTATGTCGTGGCCACGAGATAGCTAAGTCGTGGCCACGAGATACTATGTCGTGGCCACGAGTTACAAAGTCGTGGCCACGAGATAGCTAAGTCGTGGCCACGAGATATGTCGTGGCCACGAGTTACTAAGCCGTGGCCACGAGATACTATGTCGTGGCCACGACTTACCACGAGATAATTAACCAATCAAAATACACTATATATATTATGAATTTTTTAACTTAACAACTTACCATTACATTCAATCTTTGAAAATACTGAAGATATTCACTTTGCACTTGTCTTTAAGATCATATCAGAAAGTCACCTTCCAATGTCCATCAGATATTAATTTTGACTATAGCTCTTTATTGGGCAAGTTTGTGATCGAATTGGTCAGTTTGTACGTACAACGGCCTGTTAACCTTGTTTATACGATAACATGAGAAGGAATAATTTATGTTTTATTTTATTTGTAAGGGACATTGCCCATGGACAGTAAATAGCCTATAAGGTAAAATCCTTGTCTGATGATAATGTAGAAAAATAAGCGGCATGTGGTAAGTGGGGGGGTAACCCAGAAAGTCAGTTGAAGCCTAGTCAGTAGCAAGACAACTAATGAATGTGGTTGAGAGGTGTATTGTGGTCAAATCAGGGTTCAGCTGTGGACTCTAAAGTGTAAGTTATTGACAGTCCGTCTTGTTAAAATGCTTTTCGGCTGGGTGTAGTATCTTGGTGGGCCGACTAGTCTCGTGGCCCGGTGAGTGGTCTGTGCAATTAGTTGGTGTGCCGGGGCTGTAGTTGTGGCAACGACTTAGAACGTCGTGGCACGAGCAGCTAGAATAACGGTCGTCGGGCCACGAGACTTGAGGCTAACTCGTTGGCCACGACGTTAGATAACTTCGTCGGCCGACGGACTGAGCTATCTTCGTGGACACGACTTAGTAACTCGTGGCCACGACATAGTATCTCGTGGCCACGAGATAAATAAAAACACACACATGTCATCTTTGTGCCACCGTATATATAGCCGTTTATGAGATGTCACAGTTTTAATATACCACTGTATCATGTTTCTTTATTTCAGTATGCTTGAGTGAAATTTGCGTGGATAAACCAGACGGTGTGTATGAAGCTAACTGCCGGGCTTATTCTATATGTATTAATGGCAGGGAGGAGATTGTTAACTGTGAGTTTGGACAGGCTTTCAATACAAAAACTAAACAATGTGAAAGGTAAAAATACCCTAACTTTGTAATTAGGCCATTTCTAAAATGATATTTGTCTGAAGTTGCACTAACCACTACGATTTCAGTGGGTGGCAGTCAGGATATTTCCATACTTAATAATTTATATTTGGTTTGGTTTCTTTTAAAAAAGATAATAGTAATCCACAACACATGGACACCTCAATGAAGAATAGTAATCTGAAATATCAACGATTAAATGTAAAGAATGAATGGAACATTTGCATGTTGTCTTTTGTCGATGTAAGCATTTCATTTGATGATAGCCTTTTTTCATACTTTTGCTGTATTTCCAATTTAAATTCTTCTTGCATTATGCATTATTCTTGATTATTGTTCAGATCTTAAAAGAAGGATATCAAGAGGAGATAAAGGATAAGTTGCACTTTAATTTATTTAATTTAGATAATATATCCATTGTATAGCTTAAATCTATTCTTACATATCCACGTTTTCCCACATATAGTTTGCAGCAAATGGGATGTTCCCCCGCTTGTGGTAGGACGGAGAGTGTTACGGATAAGAGGAGGGTTTTCAGACGGTTGATTGAAATGCAAATCTTTCTTTTGTGTTTTACGGATGTTCTTCTCATTTCTTTGTCCTGCGGTGAGTAGCCCTTATAGAACACGGGTCAACCTGTGAATTCGACCTCTTAGCAAGAACCTAACTAAAATCCATGCTATGACCGTGTACTCTATATGCAATGTATATTAAGTTAAAAACTATATTTAATAAAGTTTATAGTTTTGTCTAATAGTTTACATATATATTCTGCCGTTACCAACTTATCCAAAACATACTTATTACCGTATATTATATTATATTATATGAGATTATATTAATTATATGAGATTATATTATATGAGATTATATTATATGAGATTATATTATAAGAGATTATATTATATGAGATTATATTATATGAGATTATATTATAGGAGATTATATTATATGAGATTATATTATATGAGATTAATATTATATAAGATTAGCTGGGAAGGGTTCGTATAATCTATGTCTATATTTATAAACAGATAACAGAAAAATACAGTCGTTGCCTAGTTACATTTCTTACATGATATGTAGAGGTGATAGGACTAGGACTCTTTTCATATCGTGAATACTTTTACCATGGATTTTATTTGTATGAACAAACGAATGTCGAAAACACGATATTATTTTTTTTGTTACTAGTATTTTCGATTCTTCGACAATAAAGATAACATAATCCGAGTCTATATTCCTGTGTGTTATATGTATAAATGCACCAATATAACTTCATGGTTGCGCCAATATAACTTCATGGTTGCGCCAATATAACTTCATGGTTGCGCTAATATAACTTCATGAATGAGCAAATATAACTTTATGAATTTTACAATCTCAACTCAATGAATTCACAAAATTCATGAATTCACAATATCAATTTCATGTATTAACGATATCACCGTCACGAAAGTGCGAGTTCAAAATTTATGAATTCGTGGCTTCAACTAAATGAATCGTGAAATCATTAAATTTGAAGCGTAAAGTCATGCATTTTCAAATTGTGAAAACGTGAAGTTAAAAATGTGAATTCATTACAATGAAATCATGTTTTCAACTTAAACATTGGTAGATTTTGGATTTTTTTTCTATATTTACTATGTTAACTAAACTAGCAAACGGTTATTAAATTTGAGAAAAGAAATATTTCATTTTTACATATAAATATATCTATAAGGCTGATTAGAGATTAAAATGTTTTCCGAGCAATTACTTAACGACTTCATGCTCAGGACAGGTCTTAGGTTATTAATTCATGATTTCAACTGTACGAATTCAAATTTTAACTTCGCGAGTTAACTTTTTCACTAATTCAACTTCATGAATTCATTATTTCACTAGTTCAACCTTATGAATTTATGATTGAAAAAATACAAGTCCGATATATAAAAACGCTCATAATTGATTTATTCTTGATCTAACATATTTTTTCAGATTTAGTCTACAATGTAAATCAGGGCGTGTGCGACTACGACTACTCGGCCCCGCCCCCTTGTGGTACCAACGTTTCAGCTTTAGCTATAGGATAATTTGCAGCAGACGACAAATTGCTAGAACAGAAATGAACAATACATACATAATATTAGTAACCTAAATTATCATTGTATAGTATGGTGCTTCATATAAACTGCATTAAATAGTTTAGAAAAATTATCACTGTGTTTAAGAAATAATTTAATTTAGCATCTTTATGATTTAGAGGAAGATAATGCTTGAAACATTTATATATTATTTACGTTCCCCGTAGTTTTATTATCATTTCATACATGTTTTAAACATATCATTTTGTAAAACAAAATATTATTTATCATTTTCATAATTCGTTTGGAGAATGTCAAAACTGTTTGTTACCATAGAAACGTTTTTTAAAAGACTTAGTTGATGTAATGAGGTATTAATAAAGATTGTCATTAGCATACATGTGTAATGTTGTGGTGTTTTGTTATTTTTTTGTTCCTATATATAAATATTATATACACCAGAAACTCCAAACCACCAGCTGGTAATACACTTTCATTAACAGTAAGAATAACTCATGTTGGACTATGGAAAATTAACATTACAAAAAGTGAGGGGTGATAATAATTATTATTATACCCAAAGTATACATTTTATTTTACTTTATAGCCTAATGAAAGACGACGTAACATATCTCGTATTACCAGGGACAAGTAATCTATATGGACTTAAAAAACGTGATGTTCTAGTTCTCTCCCCTTATATATGGCTCTCGGAGCGGTGAAAAATACAACAAAATGTTGTTTCGTTATAATAAAAAACTTACGAATGTTCACCTCGGGTGTTATTCAGTTCTCGGGTTGCGTATATGCACTATTACCCTGAGAGACATGTGTTAATTTTATACAAGAACTCTTTAAACATTTGATAAGTATAGTTTTAATGAAGGTATCTATATATATAGCGTCCGGAAAATATTAAGTCTTTAGAGCAATACAATTTTAATTAGTATTTGGGAGGCAAATTTAGATAAATATTTAACAGGCAGATAAAATGTAAAAAAATGCGATGGGTAATCAGTTATGTAAATACATTTTCCAAATGTACTAGTATATAGATCCGTGGTTAAAGTATACAATGTACTGTTGTTACAATTAATTTGAACGAAGAAAGCAAATGTAACTGAGCGACCATGGACTTTTGTTGTTAAATAATTTTGAGTAGTATTTCACATAGAGGTATATCAGAAATAAATGATGATTTGGCATGGTCTGAGAACTTTTCATTGCTTAACATGAGCACTATGTAGTACATGCCGGGAACCAGGTAAACTTACTGCTTTAACAATTGTATATACAGAGATCTAGGGAACGAAGTTTGACTGTACTTTACTCCGCCAATGCACAGTGGTCAATTAACCTTTACAATAAAGTAGGTTATTTTATTTGTTTAACCGATATCAATTTGCCAAGCCAAGATAATTTTTATCAGCGTACGGGGAAGAGTTTTGTTTAAAACAATTGAAGATTTACCCGAGCTAGTGTAATATTGAAAGATAATCAGTCATTTTGCTCAGTTTTAAAAAAAAAAATCTACCATGACAACAGTTGAACAGGAGTCAGCCAAATATCCTGGGTTTAAAGGGATCGGATATCCCGAGGTGTTTACAACCATGCCGCCGCAGCCGACGTTAAAAAAGCCAGGACATTTGCCGTACGAGAAAGTAAAGGAATATTTTGAAAACGTAAGTCGTGCGTTTTAATAATTACTATTCAATTAATATTTTATGTTCTATTATAAACCGTTTCTTTTCAGATTACACGGTTCAAGGACAAAATGTAATGATTGTGCATTATGTACACTGTACACACATGTGTATGTTCAATTTGTTTTACCGTAAGACGTTTAAATTTATTTTATGTCTAAATCTTATGTCTGGTCATTTAGATTTCGTCATTAGATTTAATTTTACCATGGGTACGAGTAAGTGTTTGGATTTTTCCAAAAGATGTCGTTAAATGCCTTAATGACTTTTATTTATGCGGCTCACGAAAAGGACCTAACTTCGTCCGTGTTCATTTCTCGTGTTGGTGACGATATTATAGAAGTTGGGTCATGAGTGGCGTAACCATCGTTAAAGTCTTAACTTTTGAAAAGTCGCATATGTTAACAGTAGATTAATATATACACAATTATTTCAAAGAACTGGTTATGTCAGACGCTGATTAAACTAAGGATACAACTTTATTAGTCTATGACAACACTATTCTAAGATCAACTGATCCCCTGTGGCAGCATGGCATGGCCAAGAGGTTATCTCGTTCTAAGAATCGCTAACCGGATGGGTTCAAACCCCACCAGTATCAAGTCCATGTTTGCTTGAGCATGAAACTTTACACTCATTTCTCAGTACTGGTTGGTCCCAGAAACGAATGTGAGAGTGTGTTTTTAAACTAATACATGTAACTCGCTACACAATCAAACTAAATTAAATTCTGAATAAACTAACTAATCCCCTGTTCAATGTGTTGTATAGTTAACCCTGTTTCCATGTTTAGTAAAAGAAGGTAGATAGGTAGCGGGAGGGGAAACAACAATAATTTCATTTTATTCTAGATATAATATCTTTAAAGTGAATCGGTCCATAGAGGAAAGTATATGATACTACAATCATAAATGTTGATTATATATATAGCATAATACGTGAGAACAAAGCATAATTATATGAAATGTGTGTGACACAGTCATGTCTATATATAGATGGTAGAACATATTATATATCTGTATCTTGATACAGACTCATACTAATTAAACCACTTAGAACTCTTTCAACATTTTTTCTCCAATAAATATTTTATTCAAAGATCCAAGTTATATATTTCTTCCTTTTTTCAATATTTGAATACTCCGTGGTCGAGGGGTTAGAGTCGATGACTTCTAATCAAGTTACCTCTCTGGCATTGGTTCGATCCCCGGTAGTTTAGCGCAGAGGAAGGTATTCTAGTACTTGTGTAACACTCCAGGAACGATGGTTAGGAAACTACCCGCCTATATGAATGAAATAATGTTGGAATAAGGCGTAATATGAAACAAACAAAACTTAGAGAAAATGTGTGTGCCCATTGTAGGTAGACCAATCCCCTTTAAAGTGACATTTTGTCAATCCAAAGGTATACAGTGAGTGAACAGGTGAAAATCAAAATAAGTTTATATTTTGTCATTATTGCTTTCAATTTTATAATTTAATTTGCAGGGACGATAAATAACTCACACGGCACAAGTAATTTTCTATAAATATCCATATGAAATTATCTATTTATCGCATGGTTTGGAACTTTTCCTTTGTTCTTATAACCCATTATACTTAGTACACTTCAATGAGTATTCCAAAACTGTAATGATATATAACAGTACAGTTTTTTCATTGATTCATATAGGAAAAAACTCGACTGTTATATATCGGTCGAGTTTTTTTTTCGCACCTTATATATATCAATGCAGTTTTTTCATGGAGGCTCCAATGGGGCAGTGGTAACGACCATTCCAGTAGCAAAAAAAAAAAAAAAAAAAAAAAAAAAAAAAAAAAAAAAAAAAAAAAAAAAAAAAAAAAAAAAACATAAAATAAAAAAATGAAATCAATAAATAAAATAGAATAAATATATGAATACAATGAAAAATATAAAAAATGAAATGAATACCCTCATTTAATCAAAAGCCTTGAAAGGTACATCCGCTGAATGAATTATTTCCACCGAATCTTAAATCAATTTTGGTAACAGTATACACAATCCGCCTCTTATATTGGATGTCTTTTGTGGCAGCGAAAACAACAGGAAAAACTGCCTTATGATAAATAACTGTAATGTAGCTAACGATTAATTTATTTATTTGTTTCTATTACAAAAAAAGAAAACATTATGCCATTGCGATAAAACAGTTATAGTATATGAAACTCGTTAGTTACGGGGGTATAACACTGACTGGGGCGACATCTCGGGATGTTTCTGCAAAAAAAATTGTCTCGGCCTAACGGCCTCGCCATTTTTTTTAGCAGAAACACCCTTGATGTCGCCCAGCCAGTGTTATACCCTCGTAACTAACTCGTTTCATGTACTATAACTATTACACAATGTTCAATTTATAAAAAGAGTGGGGCAGTCTTTTTATCCTTAAGGTAGATTTATATTTTGTCCTAAACATTTTCCAGTCTCAACTGTTAGGACTTAATCACCATTATAACAGTCATTATTTTGAAATATAAAGTAAATTCACCTAAACTTGACAATGAAAATATGACCATTATGTCACTTTAAACTACATATAAGGATTATCAGGCCAGTAAATGTCCACGTAGTAACGGACTTATTACATTTCATAAATATCTATCTTTCATGTTGTATACATATATGAGCCGTGTCACGACAAAACCAACATAATGGGTTTGCGACCCGCATGGATCCAGACCAGCCTGCGCGTCCGCACAGTCTGATCAGGATCCATGCTGTTCGCTTACAAACTCTATAACCAGTGTAGAAACCGATAGCTAACAGCATGGATCCTGATCAGACTGCGCGGATGCAAACGCATTATGTTTGTTTTGTAGTGACACGGCTCATAATAAAGTTTCAGGTAGTTTCAGTTCTTTGGTTTCCTAGTGGTTAGGATTACTATTAAAGGCACATTTTGTCTCAGAAACAAATACTATTTTTTTTAAAAAGGGCAAATACAAATTTTAAGATATTTAGACAATGGTTTTAGAGAAATGTTAGTTGCTTGTTACCTAAAGAAAGTAGCGATTATTGTGTAAATAATTGTCATAAAAGTAGAAAAATGTAAACAAAATAATAATTTGACTTTCAAACCAAATATATATACTTATTCACTATAACTGTACTTATTAGTTATTGACAAAAGGCAACAGATGAATAAGATGGTTCCGGTACATGTAATTGGCCAATGAGTAACTCTTTGGATATATAAAAATTACACCAAATTTAAGGAAAAAAAAAACATTTGAGAAATAAAATAAGGCATTTCTGGGGCATAATGGGCCTTTAAAACGCTCTTAATTATTTACGTTTATTTAGGGATTTACGGTGGTGGAGGGGTTCTTCAGTCCCGAGGAGATACAGCCCTGCCTAGACTCATACGCTCGCCTCGTCGACGGACTGGCTCACAAGCTTTATGATTCCGGACGAATTAAAAGTAAATCATAGATAATAAATACAGATTAATGTTAAGAAGAAAAAAAACTTTAAAAGTTTAAAAGTTTAGAATTAACAATACAAGAATCTTTAAAAGAAGACTGTATTTGTTTGTTTAAAATAGATCTATTTGCTTTTATTATATTAAAATACTTTGATAAGATATAATATGTCCGTGCTTTTACGGAGTTCAACGAAGTATTACCGAATGCAGAACAAATTTTTACCATATTTACTCTTGTTTTATTCTTGTTTTCAGATTTATACAAAGATCTTAATCTAAGTGACAGGCTTATAGCTCTAGAAAAGGAATGGCCGGGTGCTGTTCTCCTTCTTCTGAAGACAAATAAACTCACTCCCGTAAGTATTGTTACTACTTCTAGAACAACAACAACAACAACTACAACAACAACAACATTGAAAACAACAGGGACAAAAAGAGTAATTATGTATGGTATAAACAACACTTAGAGCAGTTAAAACGCTTGAAAACGACAAATTTAACGAACTTTTCCATGTTTTGGTCTTTGGTCCAGCTTTACAAGAGATTAAAAGAAAAAAGGTCCAATACCTTTCGAACAGAATTATTTGTTGATAAGTATGAAGCCAGATTTGCCATTAATCAGAACAGGGTACTATAACAGTAAATACACGTAAAAAAGAATAAATAAAATATGTAATATCATCATGATTATGCTTTTAACATTATTCTGTATCTTTTATCAACAAATGTATAAGCTACTTCACAGCATTGTCTACATGTACAATGTGTGAATTATGAAGACACTATTCAAATGAACAGGGTTCTAAATCTAAGGTCTAAAATGTTGCTTTTTTTTCAGGAGTTCCGTGATCTGTATCAGAATAGTAAGTTACTTGACGCAATGGAACAACTTATCGGACCGGAAATAGGTGCGAGCCCCGTCTGGAACACCAGGCCAAAGACGCCAGGTCACAGAGAAACGGATGTTCCCTGGCATCAAGGTAAAATTCAAACATTTGATTGCTTGTTTAAATAACATATTCTAAACAGATGACGATCCAATGAAGAAAGATATTTGCCTTTAGGAACGTCACTAATAATAATGGGTTTTGTACCCAATTTCTGCAAACGTATACTTTATTTATGAACATTTCATCAGATAAAAATATAGAGGGTGCGTTCCAAACTGTATGGGTATTTTGTATTTTAATAAGATAGTGAAATTGTCTCCCTTAGATTCAGCGTACTTTGACGATGAGAGTTACCAAACTTTGATAGTAACAGCGTGGGTATCTTTTGTTGATGCAACGCCTGAAAACGGGTGTATGCAGGTAATGTTCTTTAGTTTATTGTTTGCAATAACAGAACAGCAAAGATAAATCTGTATAATTCATTGCTGAAAAGAACACTAACGTATCTTATCATTTGCTTACATTTAAGAAATAATGCAGCGGCCATGAATAACACGAACGGACTGAGCTATCAGGAACACGTTGCCAAGAATGCATGATCAACTCTCTGATATGCTTACAAAATATTTCTTTAACAAAACTGCTGATCTAATTCTACATGATTTAATATAGCATTTATACATGTATTATGAATTACCAATATTTTTTTCTAGAACATTTAATTATCAACATATACATTAAATTCTTTGATGGTTTAAGATAACATTAAGCATAAATATGTATTGTATTACATACTTTCCATCATTGACCAATTCACTTTAAATATCCTTTTTTGCAATTAAAATTAAAAACAAATGAAGATAATATGCATCTACGTTTTATGTTAGGTGAATATAATACTAAAATCTTTCAAGCATATTGTTTTGCATACTTTTGCAAATTGATAACTGCCATTCACCGATGTGGGTTCGAATCCTGCCAGGAATTTCAGGATTCTTTCATGTGAGGAAACTATTCAGCAAATTTACGGAATGTTGGTGGTTCTACTCAAGTTCCTGTTCGTACACGGAGGTGCACCACCCAGCAGGCACATCAACGTTGTTTCAACGTTAAATTATGGTCAGATTTCAACGTTGAAATAAGGTTGGATTTATATTCGGATTTGAAAGTTGAAACAACGTTGAAATTTCAACGTTGATACAACGTTGCAGCTTCAACGTTGGCACAACGTTGAAGTTTCAATGTCATTTCAACGTTGAAAACCCACCATACTTTAATTTTTGGATATAAAGCAAAGTAACCAAGTTAACCAAGTTTAGCAAAATATCAAGACAATATTAAATACTTCAGTTATTTTATTTCAAAAATACAGTTCAAGTGCTGCTTAAATTCACTTTAATAGTTTTAACAATTAAGCTACAATCTGTTCCAATCTTTTCTTCTAGATCTTTCTGGGTATGTCAAGTGTTTGAGTACTTCTTTGGCTGTCTCTTACTGCTTCTGCAAATAAAAATAAGAAGTTTGTAGTTAAAAGTGACTTGGTCAATCTAAAATTGTACATATAATTACGCAACTTAAGTAGTGATTTGTTTTTATCTTAAAATGCTTTTCTCTAAGATTTACATCATAAAACAGCATAGAAATTGAAACATAGCTAAGTTTGATATTGACAGCAAATACTGTATATAAGACAACAAAATCTTTTTTAAAAAGAAGCTATTTCAAAGTCTCACCTGTGATTGGTAAGAAAAACTGCTCCCCGTCAGTTCCTTGCAGCATATTCCCAAGAAATTAACATTCTAGGCTCTAGCTAAGACCATTTTATGCAGCATCCTGAAATCAACAAACATGTAAATTTTATATTAATAATGTTACAGGAATATTCCGCAAAAAATATATTTTAAGACAAGATAAATATCCAGTATTTGAAAAATTTATACTTTGTATTGTAAAGAAATTTAAATATATAAATTAATATTATATAATAAGAAAAAATTTCAATTTAACAAACCTGACAGTTCTTTTCATGTTGAATGTATGGTATACAGGCTACAGCTGCAATACTCTAAATTTCAGCCAGGACCAGGATCTAGAATATAAAATAAATTATAATAATAATTATATAATAAAATAGAAATAGATTTATTATTCCCCATAAATTTACGACTATAAAACTTTAACACTCAAATTTGTCATTTAACTTAATAATAATGTATTTTTTTCAAACTAATTAACACTGTATTATACTATCACTAAAATAAAGCATAGTTATATATATTGACGAATCGTCTTGGGACGTAAATTAAGTGGGCCGAACTACTTTATAGAATTTAGGTTTCAATTTTAAAATTGATTAAATTCTAAAAAGGATATAGTACAGACAAATGTTTAATAATATGAAAAATAAATTAAAGAAAGACAAGATTTGTAAAATCATAAAATGCCAAGGACAACAATAACTTAATGCTTGAAAGGCCTACCGAACCCAATTAGGTCGCGAAAACGTGTCAAATCAACTCAATCATGTGTTTTCATCTCTCATTTATTTCATAAAGCAAATTTAAGTAGAATTTAAAGAATAAATAATAATAATATAGAAAATAATCAGTAAACTAAAGTAAAACATAAGGGTAATACCTTCGAAATCAATATAAATTGCCAATCGTGTTGTTTTCAAATTTTCCAAACAGCGCCGCCATTTGCACGAACGATAATCATAGGCAACAAACAAAATCATAGACCGCAACAGTTACTTCCCCTGACCAGCGTTATTTTATAATCGGGGTTTTGACTAATATCAATTTAATAATTAATATTATTCATAAAGAACTAAAAAACAGCAAACAACAAAACATATTAACTAATATTTAAAGCGTTAATAGAAAGTGAAAAATTATTTCCAACTTTATTTGTTTAAGCGCTAATTTTGAATATACGGAAAAAGATTGTAACGCAAGTTTTCCTGACAAAAATCACTCACAGACTAATTCAATAAAGGAATAATATCACAAAGTTAGTGGTATAAAAGTTTATATAATGATTAAACTAAATGTAAAACTTCGACCATAAACAACGTTGATTCAACGTTGTATATACATTGGCATTATATCCGAATATGGTTGTCCATAGTTGAATATTGGTTGAACAACGTCACGACCATATTTCAACGTTGTTTCAACGTTGAAACAACGTCGAGTGCCTGCTGCATGGGCAGAGCATTTTATGTATCAGCAATGTTGGAAAGTCGCTATATGACCTTACTGTATTGGTTTTTAAAGAAATCCTAATTAGAAGTTAAAAAAATAGGAGAAATAAGATTCTTATTTCTTTTTTCCTTTTTTTTGTTTAAAAATTTTTTAGATCCAAATTAGGTTGCTGTTTTATATTTAGACTTTTGAAAATCCTCCTAATTTATTTACTTCTGAACTCGTAATGCTATCTTCATTTCTCTGAATAAGGCGTTTAAAACTTCTTAAGTGCTGATAAGTAGTTATTCCGATAATTTCTCCTACTTTTGAGTAAACATTCATATCAAGTTGGAAGTAACAACTTATGATAAGATTTTCTATCTCTCCTATTAATAAAGTTTATCAATGCCATAATTAGGCGTTCACTCCTAAAATTGAAAAAGCCCTTATATATTTAAACTGCATGCTTAACAGGAGAATAAAGTTCTTATTAATCTTTTAAAACTCCTAATTACAAGTTAAACAGTTTTTAAAGACCACATATACGCATCATATGATTACCCTTTTCTTACGAGAAAGGGACATATAGCTGTCCGCACACTTAAAAATTTGGCATTTCCATATTGTTATTAATAAGGAGGCTTATATGATTGAATTGGTTGATATACAACAATAGTAGGGGATCTGTTTTTTCATATTAAGTCCGCTATAAAATAAATAGTTGTTATGAATAGTATAAATTTTACTAAATTTTGCAAATATGAACGTTTCAAAAACGTTTTATATGCATCAAATATATGAGATAAATTTCACATTTAGCCATGGACCATTTTTGCCAAAGTACGCACGTAATTTCTGTATTAGCGGATAACGGGAAGGGCCGAATAATCATAAGCTGACCAAAAGTTGACCAAAAGTTGCTATATAATTTTATCAAGTTACTTATTTTTATATTATACAGTTCATGAAAGGAGGGCAAAAGAAAGGTTTAGTCGTTGTGCACGAGTGCTGTGACAATTTCTATCTCACAATAAAGGAAGAGGAACTGATAGAGAGGTTGGGTAAGGAAATCTTAATAATTTGCATGCCGGGAAATATGTCGTCTGCTTAAAATGTCGTCTGTCTTGTACCTGGCATCTCAGCATCTGTTCTGGTACGAGACTGCTGTTTGCAAAAGATATAAAGATCACTCAGATCAGGCTAAAGGTTAACATATTAATTTAATGCCACTTATTTCTGTGGTGAGAACTACAAAATGGCTGCACGGTAACAATATTTCTTGACAGAATATATAATATATTTGAACAAAAGTGAACTTTTTAAAAACAGTTTTTTTATTTATTTCCTTAATGGCACATTAGATTTAAAATATGCACGCAGAAAGAACGAATTTCATAAAAATAAAGTCAACATTTTATTCGGACTACTTTTTTACAGGTGCAAATCCGAAGACCGACTTCATTACATGCCCAGTTAAAGCTGGCGGAGTGATTTTCTTCAATAATATGGTGCCTCATAAAAGGTTCGTCAGTTTTAACCTAAAATCTAATTCATTTGTGACATTTAACCTTAAAAAAGGAGATGTATATGTACAACACCATAACAGTAATATATTATTGCAAGGTGTACATCTTATGATGCAACAACCATTTTGATCAAACGTGTAAGGTATTTAGTGTAGAAAGGGTACTTTTAATCTTTCACAATTAAATAATGATAGTTTAAATATGGTTTTTGATCCTGAAACGTTACAAACATCAACCCACTGCTTCCAGCAATACTTTCCAATGTATTGAATTCGACAACTGGGGTTTGTAGCATATTCGAAACAAGTGGTTTGCACATTTGATCAGTTTCCTTTACATATTGTATTTATTCTATGTGTTACCTGTAAAATATTCATTTTATGATACGTATGTAAGGTCTTTTCGGTACTTTGATCCTATTTGATAAGGACCGAATAGCTGAATTTTTGTATTTATCTTTTTTTTATTTAAGTAAACAATTATGTAGTATTATCAAGTTAAATGTCCTTGGATAAACAATGTTTGCTACGTAACCGTTATCACTGGGTCATGTAACCCATCAACAATCTTATAACTATCATTATAATTTACTGCTCGTACGTAATTTCGATTATAGTGACGCTTATATTTACGGCCTTCGTGGTCAATTCCTACGCATCAAAACTCCAAACCGGTGTTAAATAGCCGATATACACCTCTCAGGCCGATGTTATTTCGATTCTATCACTATAAAATAAGGAAGATCACTAATGTTAATTTTTCAAGCGAAATAACTTCCGGTGCCGACTTTCGTATAACGCTGTTCGATTTTCGCCCCCTACTGTTGGTTGCAAAGATATAGAAATTATTAAACAAAATAAATAATAAGAAAAAAACGTTAGTTTATCAAAATTTCAACGATAAAAACTTACGTCGTATTGTGTTCACATCAGTGCACATTTGATCATTTTTGTTTGTATGAAATAACGCCAGCTTGTTTTTGAATGAGTTGTTTACTTAGGATGACGTCATTAGGCTGCTTACGGATTGGCGTCGTTTGTTAAAATATTTTATCAAATATGTGGCGTTAGTGTATGTGAGATATTATTTCGCTATTGTATGAAAAGAAAACATTATAAAAACTGAAAATATAAATAAAATGCTTTTTATTGTTGCTTTAAAAGGCTTTGTAAACTATATAATCGAGGGTGAAAGCATAAAAGCCGCATATACAAGTAGTCCCTAACCAGTGTTTATTTGCAGTTTAACACCGTTTTTTTCCTTCTTTGTCTACAGTGACAAAGTCACGTGGAGTGATAGAATATTAGTTATAAAGAGGGTTATATTGCAAATTACCGTTTATATACGGCCATATAACCTGCCCAGAAACTATATAGCGAATAATTCATAAAAAATCTTTAATTAAAAAAACCGCGACGTTACAAACATGCAGTTTTATTATTCAACTTATAGATAGCATATTACACGGCTGCTGTAAATTGGTGCATTTATTTTTTTTCTTTAAATGAAAGGAACTGTGCAGTATTAATGATTTTTAGAAAGGTTTTCAACAGGTTCGATGGTTGTGTATATTGGGTTGTTTGCTATATAACTATTGCTTACCATCTTGTAATATTAAAACTTGCAATCATTAATATAACATTATCAATATAAATGCACGTGGTTTACTGTACATTTTCACTCACAGCGTTCCAAACCGATCCGACCATATCCGCTTTGCTATGGACTTGCGTTACCAGTCACCAAATCGACCATGGGGATTTTTCGATAAAAGTAAGGGAATCCTTCTTCGATCTCCTTCGAAACCAGATCACGTGCCAGATTGGGAGTTCTATTCAACGCAAGGAAGATACGATATAATTAAAGAACTCGTCGTCGAAAAGACGGTAAAATTGTAGATTAATGATTTTTAACTTAATTTCCTTCCCAAGAAAAAACAGTTTCTGATTTTTACTCTGCACTGGTCTCCCCTGATATGCAAGGAAACCGTGTTCGCTACATGGCTACAGTTGCCTACTAACAGTGCATGGAAAATACAAATTTAAGATACGTTTTATTGCCAAACGACTTAAATAATAATTATAGAAAGTCGAATGGCAAGGGAAACTAATGGAAAAGGTTATTCATGTAACAATACATCATGTTTATCTACCTTGATACAATTACTTATTCTTCACTTTTCGAAAAAAAAAGAAGTGGAACTGTTGTCATGACCATCTCGTCGGCTTTGGCGTTTTCGTCGGTTAACCTTTTCGTGACTGCAAGATCGATTTTCTCAGAAACTATCAAAGCTATTCACTTCATACTGATTACAGTCATAAAAAGACGCTATTTCAAAGAGCAGATAATCTTCAAATTATTGTTTGCAAAGTTATGGTCCTTTTTTGTTACATTTATTTGACTATCCAGCAGCGTTCTGTCTGCGGACAGGTTTGTTATATTTAAAGCTGTTTGTAATATTGGGATTCAATCAATGGTAGAAGATATGGATAAACGACTGAGCTCGAATTATGTATCCTACGTTACTGTATTTAATCTTTCTTCTTCTGTGAGTTTGTTCGTGATCACTGTTTCTTGTGTGTGTGTTTTTTTTTTCAGGGTCAAGGTGACAAGGACGATGAATTTGATACCACATTGACAGGACCTCACATGGATCGGTGGAAAATTGTAAATCATAGTATACATACAGAGGCCTACCTTAAAGGCGCTCAGAAAGTATAAAAACAATATCAGTCACGTGATTGTAACGTAAAAAGAAATCAGGGCGCAAGACAAAATAGTCCATATCAACTGTGCCAGGTTTTATTTTCTGTTAAAAAAGTTTGTAAAATTTTCCTTGTACAGCATCTTTGAATATATAGTGTACATGAAGACATGAAGGCTTTGCGATATAAAGCAGATTAACGTCGAATCTACTTTGTTAATTGTTTGTTTGCATGCAGTATAAAGTCGAACCGGCCTTGTTAACTTCTTGTTCTCCAGCAGTGCAACGTTAAATCCCCTTTGAAGCACTATAACTTCGAATTCGCTTTATTGAATAGTTTTGCCAGTCGTATAAGGTCGAATCGGGCGTTTTATTAGATCAAAACACAGTGACTGATCAATACATTATAAAAAAAAACAACAACAACAAAAAAAACAACATGTTTTATCTGTGATATAAACTATATATATAATCCGTTACCCCTAGTCCCTACACTCCATGAATCGGTCTGGATGTGTAGTCATATGCCAAGAGAAAACTTACTCGTTTCCCTAGTTTAACGCTCTTTATTTTCAAAAAAGACATTTATTTGTACATGGTGTTTTACAGTATATCATTAAATCTACAACAAAAATACACACTAAACTAAAAACAATAAATTATAGATACCATTCCTGCAATATTACGCAAGACCCTCAAATTTCAATATTTAGTTTTAATTTACCCACATGTTTACAAATAACATGATTTTCTTTTATCTATTTCCCTATCAATAATTTATATTTGGCTTTCTGTTTTTGTTTCTACACGATTTCCCCAAATAAATTTCAATGAAGTGTGTTCATAACTGAAGCAAGATCTTTCCTTTTATAAATGGTATACTTATAGGTATCAAGCATTTTCACGAAACACCATAATATTCTTCTCTTTATTGCTTTGCGCTTCCTATAATATATGGAAGCGCAAGCTCCCTTCAAGCAATGAAACCAACAAAATACATGAACATAGCAGACTTAGTTTAAGCAAGCATGTTTATGAGAAGTAATAAAAAACTAACAACCCCCATCCTACCACCGGGTTATGGCAATATCCAAAGTTTAAAACAAAATGAATATATTTATGAAAAAAAATAACAAAGCGAGTTAAGATACAGTCTAACTGCCCATGCGACCACGTGTATGTTCAATTGTGTATGTAGGAAACGATATTTAATAGATAATAAGTACTATATCTGAATTGAATATGACCTTGGCCTCAATTTTTCTTAGTTTTTTAAGTTTTGTCCTTTTACTATGCCATTTAGCTTCATATTTTTCTAGTTCCAAGATTTTTGGTAACAGAACTTAACATGTTGAAAATAAGTCTAATACCGCTAAAATTCTGAGTGTGAGTGATTTTGCAATATTTCATTTTTATCCCTCGTGAATAGATTCAATCAAACAAAGTCCTCAATTTTCATGTAATTTTGTTGTTTTCATCGCTACCGAAAGATCACCCATTTTCAAGATTTTTATATAAATAGAACCAGAAACCTCTGTCTAAAATGTTCAGCATTTTTCAAATATTTCTTCTTCTTTCCATTCATTAGCCGGCATTTTCAAAAGGGAGGGAGGCAAACCTTTGTTATCATCGCTGGATTCTGAAATTAAGAAATAAAATATAATGCAATAACACCTAGTGGTACATGTATTTGCCTAAAGAAATCATAGATCAATCCTTAAAAAAGCAAACTTACAAAAGGTGAAACTTCAACTATCACTCTATTAACAGTTAACATCAATTTCCATGTTGTGAAAACATGCAAGTTGCAATACAATTTGAAGGTCAGTTGCAATTTTCTATTGTTACTTTTATAATCGTTGTATTGACCAGGGATGCATATTTCACACATACGTTGAACTGCGAAAATAACCACATTGTAATGTAGATTCTATACATTTTTCTTGTTAGTATCTTCTTTTAAAAAAACAATTTTAAGGCATTTTTGGCTTGGTTGTTTCTTACGTTTAAACAAATAACAATCACCCCTGTTTCTTGTGGTGTTGGCGGGCTCAGAAAAAAAAATCAAATGGTCTAAAGGTTCTTGGGAAGGCTTCACCCCCTTAACCACCTTTTCTTTTAACGAATGATTCTATAATGAACCATAATTAAAATAAAGAACACAAACCTGAAGCAATGCTCTGCACGGAATTTCTTTTTCGCTCAAAGTAAGACGACATACGTTGATTTCCTGTTATATTCTCGTCAATAGAGCTTCGTTCTGTAGGATCTAAATTTCCACTGTCAAATTCGTTCTTGTCTAAAACCCAGTACGTCGTCATCTTTATAGTTGGCTAAAATCAGTACAGGGTGACATCCGGTTAGTAAATTGAAAAGTGTAACATAACATTTGATTCTTTCTACCATTTGGTTTTTATCTTGAAAGGCATAGACTAAAAGAGGTTAGCTTTATAGTAAATTTCGTTTGATTTAAACACAACTTAATCCGTTTTTCAGACTAACAAGAGCAGATGCCATTTGTATAAACATGATTGAAAATGTAGGAGGGCTATACCCTAGAAACCTTGTGTTCAGATACTTACGCGGTTATCAATCACCAAGAAAACAATTAACCTGATCGGTACCATTACATACTCGTATAATGAAAAACAAACAAGAATGTTGAATTCAAACAATTAATTACAAACTGCTGGTATGTTCTTTTTTATTAGCTAAAACTAATATTACTATCATCAAGGTTATAAATACTGACGAAGATGGTGAGGATAAGTAGCTTAAAAACTAAAAGCCGTGTTACAAAATTTTCAAGCCTTTTAACCGTTTTAGAGACACTGAAGAAATTCAAGTACTGCGTAGCTAGGTACTCCTACAAGTATTTCTTTATCAGTAAGAAAAAGCATGCCCTTTTCTGACAATCAAGGTCACAAACACAATTTAATGTTCAACAAACATGTGTCGAAGAGTAAAACCTTTAGAAAGCAACTTGTTAAAAAACAAACAGGATGTTTTACCGAAACTTCAATAGTACCACGTATCCTCATTTTGAACTTTCCGCATTTCATCAGGCTACTAAACATTTGGTCGCTTACGTGAATTTTATTTGCTGAAAGTATACATGATAATAAATTGTATATATCTTTAGAAAAAAGACAAATTGACTCTGGACTACACTGGAACATCGTCATTCCTTGAAATTTGACAACTTATGATACCAACATAATTATATTACAGAACTTTTGTTTTATAAAGCTGTTATTGGTCGATACGTGTCGGTAAATCAAAATTCTTTTCGGTGATAGTTATCATTTACACGTTATAAAACGACAAAAAAGGCAAAGCAAGCGTAATGACTGGAATGCAAGACAACGATTGTCACCCATCAATTGATATCATATGTTGCTGAAGAGCTTTTGTCTTTGTAATGATTGTGTCAATATGAACACGGACAAACCAGACGGACTAGCTAGCGGTACTAACATTACATACATTGCTCAAAAATAAGAATTTCGTGACGACAAGATTCCTTGTCTTTTATCACAATTTGGCGGATCTAGTTGTTTAAACAATGAAGTTCATGTTTGGTTGCAAGCCTTTTCTAGACTAGAAATATGATGTATTCGTTTTGCTACAAATAACTGACATACAACCTTTAAAGAGAATTGACGCTAAATCAGCTGACGCTAAATCACTTGAAAAAAGATCAAAACAAGTGAAGCCGATTCGAAATAAAACAAGAAATGCTCAATTAAAATACTATATGACAACAACTCACGGAGTCCACTAGATTTCATTCTACTTGCAATATATACAGTAGGTCCGAATAAACAATACTTCAACATCATTGTTCCGACAATCCCTGCCATACAAGCACCTGAAACATTTATTTTAATTAACATGTTAATAAACTACATCAAAGTGTTAATAAGTCCCACATTTTGTCAAGACCTGGCCATAACGAGTAATTTGCAAATAAGAAACGGTTTTTAAATTTAGCTTTTTATTATTTTATTTGCTATGTTAAAAGTCACAGTTGCTAGTATTTTATAAAGATAGCATTCTCTTGTGAAATTATGTTCAGATTGTGCATTGTTTATGAAGCAAGAAACAATAACAGTGTGTTCTATCTTTTAACATTGATATAGTTTATAGTTTCCGAACTGAATATCGTTCTTTTAGCGTAAGATGACTCAAATAATACTCTTTTACCATTTTTACTAAAAGAAATACATTCACATTTAGTCTTTTTAAGGAAGGAAAATGAAAGAACTAAAATAAACATTCATTGATATATCGTTCAGTCATTCTAGGGAACCAATGAAACTGTTTGTAATATATTTCCAAATGAAAATGGCTCAAATATCGACCAATCAAAATACCCGTATGAATTCCAATCCTGATATTGACATTTCTATTTATATTGAACGGAAAGGTCATGTGATTCATGACGTGTAGGAGGTCAAGTGCCAAGGTCGCTGTTTCCGCCACATGATTCTCGCCATTTCTAATAGGAATACCTAATATGAAGAATAAAAAAACAAAACAATTTAAGTATCTGCAATTTCTCGAGATATCATAAGTAAATGGTATTCCAGTAGCAGACGTGAAAAGTCGCATGCATGAAAAATTTAATGGAACGGAATTTGTTCTAACATTTTTTATTTTAATTAAAAATTCATTCATTTTTATCATTAAATCAAGGGTAATTAAATAAAAAGTATTAAAAAATTAAATTATTTTTTTTTAAAGAATATCCATGCAACGAAAACGCAAATATCAAATTCTATTATTTATAGTTTTGGGCATAATTAAAGAAATATTTGTTCTTGGTCATCGCAAAAGTGGACAAAAGTAATAAATGTGTTTGAAAAAATTCTTGTATATCTAATTTACCTACCTATAACTATGTTATAACAATAGTGAAAACACAATGTTTAAGGTCCAGTTGGGTCTTTAAACTAACAATCTGATGCCAATTTCTAACAATCAGGGCACAGACGTTTGAATGGATATCGCACTGGGGCTTTAAGTGAATATAAACCAGCGCATTAAAGACCAACCACATACACAAGCATATATATTTATATTACACTGAGACACACATAACGCTATCACATAACGCCATAATATAACCGGTATTAAACATGTGTATGTATGTCGTGATTGGTCTTTAAACAAAACCTACCTGACGCTACCATGTAACAGTCATTTATTGTCTCCACTTTATAAACATCATAGTTGTCTATTCTCTCGTCTAACGCCAGGTACAACGTGTGCAAGAAGGTTACAAGCTCGATGGGTGAAAGTTTCATTGAGATTTGGTTAAAACCGAAGATATCCGCAAACAGAATCGACGCACTTTTAAAGTAGTCGGATTCGACATACGAACATTGGCTTCTTAGTTTCTTTGCTATAGACTTTGGTACCATCTGAAATTAAAAGATATTACATGACCATTCCACTATCTTTCCTTTATTGTTTGCTTCCAACGAATGTCATAAGTTCATAACGCCCTTTATGAAGTTATTCATTAGAAGAACAAAAATTAAATCGTTCTGCAACATGTGGGCAATTCGATGGTTAGAAATATTACTTACTCTATAAAATCTGCTCTGTCATATCTGATGACAATAGTGTAGAAACCAAGTCACTGTATCATTTACTTCAAGTCTTTACATTTCAATGGTTTATGTCATTACAAGAACCTTTTACTTCGGGTCGTTGTATCATTTATTGCACAGTGACACAATTCAACTTGTACTATCTTTTGTAATATTAGATTTAGTTATGTATCTCCACAATGATATTTTTCGAAAATACATAGATAGAGCTACACTTAAATCTATTGTATAAAATACATCTGGGTCTGAATCGGATGAAGCAGGCGAAGGACCTATAGCTCATATTCTAAAACCTCTCGGTGGAGTTAATCAATGCCTTGATTATTTATAATAGTCGGTTTTATTGATTTTCTCTGATTTTAAAGCAAAATCGATTTTACAAATTTTAGATAACCGAAAATAAGACTTCGGGTTATATTGACCAGTCGTATTGTTATCAATATGTCGCTTCTTTTAAGCTAAAGTGACTTGATTTTCGCACAGGAAATTAAAACAACTGAACATACCTGGAATATAAGTGTATCGGCTTTATGTTTCTCAATGTTAAGCTCCGTTGTTTTATGAACCAAGGTCTGTGTATATTTCTGGATATCGCTGGCCAGTGCCTCGGAAGAAAACATGATGATTGGACACATGCCTATGACTACCACCACCAGTACAGCATACACTACAACCTGAAATGTGATATGATGTTATACAATATTTCCGTGACTAAATTGTTACCAACATCGGTTCAAATTTTCCCCTTATTGTTCCATAGAGGACGTTGCATCGCTATTCAAGTAAACGGCATCTTCTTTATAGCTTACAATGTCACATGCACACAGAGCCGCTTACAAAGGCATTCATTCACAGTTTATGCTGCGAAGTCGGACGATATGTCCAAAGTAATGTTGTATGATAAGTCAAGTTGCACCGAACAGATAAATGTGGTGGCTGATTAATTAACATGTGAATCAGTTATTAATTTAATAAAAAATTCATTTATTTTAGAACATTGTAAAAGCGCACTTTGGGCTCGGACTACAAAGTGTGTTTGACCCCAACGTGCGGTGTCACACAGCATCATACGCTTTAAAATCACATATAAATGTTACTGTTACATTGTATTAGAAATTATATACAAAAAATTATCTTGCTTTACCTTAAAAACCACCTGCGCCAGGACAATGTCGACCTCCTCCGATATTCTATGGGCCACCTCTTCTTGGATCAGCAAAAGTGAGTCCAAATACTCCGTCATGTTATCAAAAAACCATTTAGCCTTCTCGTTTGAAGTATAATTTTTCTGGGGGTCATGATACTGAATTTCATATCTGTTGATAGAATAAGTTTAATTAGAAACATTGGAAACTTCTTCTGTTCCTTTAAAAAAGATTTAAATATTGAAACGGGTGAAATACTTAAAAAAGGCCGATTGATTTCCGGAAAATGCTCTTTTTCATTTCTTTAAAGTTTTTCAAGTTTAATTGTCGTGCTTCTGTTTTTTTAAAAGGCACTCATTTGTCACGTATAATTTGTTGATCTTTTTTCGGTTTCTTCACCTTTTGGAATTTAAATACAGTATGTGATTTTTTATGGATGTCAAGATATCACTTAGCTTTGTCTAACGTTTTATTTCAAATTCAACGCTTTTTTTTTTCTTCCAATGAAAGGCAAACAGCCTTATGTTAATCCATTTTAAAACACACCGAATCATATGCTTGCCATTTCTTTAGAAGACAAATGTATTAATTTATTAGACTTTATATGTGCGGACAAGCTTTGCTAAATTTTCATACAGTTTTTATAATGCTGCACGTTTGAAACGTCGTTTTTCACTGAATGACCTCGACGTTTATATAATCTGTATAAACATCTGCTGTCGCTTTATGAAATTATTTCAATTTTTGTCTAAGAAAGAAAGTTTGCTGTTGTATGGCCGTATATTAACGGTTATTTGCAATTTAATCATTTATATACAAACAACCGTTTATTTACGGGCATATAACTTGTCAAACATCTTTGTATAATATAGAAGTTTATTGATAGAGGATAAGGTAATGTTTGTCCCCGAAGAAATACAAGATAACAAGATGGAAGATGACGGAAACCAAATATTGATTACTTTTCAAAAAATGTATTTATAGAAATAGAGGTAAGCGTGCGCTCATACACAAACATTATGGTTAAATAATTATTTAATTTAAAAAAAATAATACGGTAAACTTTTTTAAAGTTCTTCTGAACTTAAAGTTTACTCATTTCTACAACACCTACTTGAGGTTGCTCCTTGCACTTTTTTTGCCTTGGGATTATTATCATCACTGAAGTACCCGGATGTATAGCAATTTAAACTTAATAAATTAGGGAAAGGGAAACAGGTTGGGTAAAGTAAAAAACGTTTTATTCAATGAGAAATACAAGTTATCACACATATGCGTGTGCGGTTTTGCTTAAGGGCTTGGATTTACTCTCACTGGATTAAGAGTTCTTAAGAACTTTAATACTTCACAGATGTTTTATAGAAGCTTATGTTACACGAGAATCACGTGCATAATTGTTATATTATAGGAGTATATAAGCTAACAGATATATAATGAAAAGAAACAAAGCGCTTTGCGTATCAAGTGGGATTCCAAATTCCGAGCGACATACTTGATTTCGCTTGTAAAACAATACAATAAAGAACTTTTTGTAGTTTTGTTTGCATTTCTATCAGGTGAATAGATAAATAAATAAATAAATAAATAAATAAATTAATTAATTAATTAATTAATTAATAAAAACATAAATAGATCAATAAATTAATTAATTAAATAATTAATTAATTAATGAATAGATTAATAAATAATGGCTATTCATAGCACGTGCACACATGTAAAATGAAATACTAATAATAATAGTAATATGTAGCCATATATCACCAGTCTTCAAGAAATTAGTAAGAATACAATGGGATACTCAGAAGGACTAGCAGTTCAAAATACAATGTACATGTAGGTACGTTATATACTGTAATGTATTGTAATATTGTAATGTATTGCTTAATGCCTGGACTGATACATGACGACTTTATAAAATACAAGTGTTTTGCTATCACCTATAAGTGTTCATTATAGATGTGATATTCAGACCGGATGATTTGATTTCTTTCACCTCCTCGGTATGTAGTGGCACGACCAATGCCGAGTAGAAGACTGCCGTCTTATAATTGTATTTGAAGTCATGTATCTGCTCATTGTAAAATTCGAAATCACTCCAACTGGGAAATCCTGGAATGAAATAAATCATGGTCATATATTTGTAGCATAATTATTGTATTTTTTGTCAATTTGACGTTGAGATATGCTCCCATTTTTGTCTAATGTTAAAGATGTATTTTAATTGAAGTCAACAGGAACTTATAACTATGGGGGCACAAAGGTGACACGTGTGTGTTTTTATTTATTTCGTGCGCACGAAATACTATGTCGTGGCCACGAGTTACTAAGTCGTGGCCACGAGATAGCTAAGTCGTGGCCACGAGATACTATGTCGTGGCCACGAGTTACTAAGTCGTGGCCACGATATAGCTTAGTCGTGGCCACGAGATACTATGTCGTGGCCACGAGTTACTAAGTCGTGGCCACGAGATAACTGAGTCGAATAATTACGTTGGCAGTATTTAGTACATGTCTTAGATATAAAAACAAACCACGAAAGAATTACACACAGAAAAATTGTTGGCATGTGTGTGATATTTGATCCAGTATTACATATTTTATATAGCATAAAAAAGTGTTTCAGAAGTTCATCATAAATCAACAAGAGCGTTATCAAAAATTTTGTTCAAGCAATATTTTATAAGAAAATCGTATGAAACATTTCTATTGTTTTCAAATCAATATTTGAAAATACTTTATATGCAAAATGTACCCATTGTAGATTAATCCATTTTAACATCTGCAGAAATCAACAGACGTATGAATTCCCTCGCCGTGCGGACTCAGACTTTAAATTTAATACGTCCTCGTGCAGATGTTGATTAACAAAAACAGTTAGATTAAGCCTCTATTGACAGTGAGCCGCGTCACGACAAAACCAACATAATGGGTTTGCGACCAGCATGTATCCAGACCAGCCTGCGCATCCACGCAGTCTGATCAGGATCCATGCTGTTCGCTATCAGTTTCACCTCTTGTAATAGGGTTTGTAAGCGAACAGCATGGATCCTGATCAGACTGCGCGGATGCGCAGGCTGGTCTGGATCCATGCTGGTCGCAAACGCACTATGTTGGTTTTGTCATGACGCGGCTCATATATGTGGAGAAACTTGAAGAAACGGAGCAGATGGGAAATATACGTGTCTTAATTGAAAATTCTGGAGTTTTATTTCAAGCACAGATTAAAAGACAAAAATGACATCTTAGAAAACATTATTCTTTATCAGTTTCAAATTTAGCAACAAAACTGAAATATAATATAATCAGGCAAACTGAATTAAATAACATAATAAATTATACAGGTAGTATATAAATAAACAAGATTAAAGGCACATTAAATGTCTCAGAAACGAATAAAATAATGTTGACTTCTTTGGAAAAGGTCAAACATGAGTATCAAAACGATTAAATAATGAGTGTAGAGAATGTTAGATGCTTGTATTCTAAAGAAAGTAAAACTAAATGTGAAAATATTTGTCATATAAGGGTAAATGTAAATGTAAGCACAATACTTAAACACTATAACCGACCCGATTGCCAAAAAAGCAGCAAAAAAGTACAGATGATTTAATGAATAGGCTAATAAATAACTTTTCGAAAACTATAAAATTAAAGTACTTATAAAGAAAGAGAAATAGAAATTCAAATATTTTCGATGCATAATGTGCCTTTAAAGCAATCGGTACATAAACCATATGTCAAGTTGTCAATTCATTGTTGATATTTAGTTGTTTTGTTTTTGTATAGTTTTTGTATCTCTATGAGTAAGCATATTAATGCACGTTATTTCACCATATCTAACTCTAAATCTTATTTTATTTCTGAAGATTTTCATCAAGTGTTACAGCACGTGCACTAACCAACCATCTTGCATTCACTATAACCGCTCATACATTTGAAAGATTTAATGCAGACGATGAAAATAAAGTTGTTGGCAGGAAAAAATAAGTTTAGCAGTGGTTTAACAACTCACATTAATTAAAAACTTCCACTTTTACGTATGGATATATTAGGATTATATCAGCGAACTATTTGTATTTATTGAGGAAAAATGTGTAACAATTTTGAGTACATTTTTGAGAAATAATGCACGGTTTTGGTTCAAATGCGCAGTAATATGATCACGACGGCCGATAGTTCTTGTGTTTAAATACAAAGCATTTTTAAACATTATCATACTTTAATGCAAGAAAAATAAAATATCTATTTTCATTCTAGCATGCTAATATGATAAAGACTTGATAAAAATATGTTGCACTACATTGAGCGTATAAGTAATTCGTCATCTGTCGTCATGACATATATGACGTCATAAGGCGTACATATACCATGTAATGATGTTCTTTATTGTCCTATTTGTTTAAAAGGGGAATAATGTGAATCATGTTAGAATGATTATTACAGAATTAGTTCTCATACTCACCACCGTAAGCATAAAACATGGCTCCATATGCTCGTTCCACGCCTATGTTCTCTTTACATCTGGTTATCTTCTGATATGCCACCAGCGTCTTCCAGGTTGACCCGAAACCCGAACCCTTTATATTCTCCACCAGCCACTCTAAAAACTCTCTGTATAAAAGATAGAAAAGTTTTAGACTGTAGTTATAACATTTTCTCTTCTAAAATATACAATAAAGATGTTCGTCATTAAGGTAAATAGGCAAACCGGAAATGTCAAGATTATGAAAATAGATAGTTGCATTTTCTGGACATGGTATGGTTTGTATGTACTTGAAAGTTCGAGTCAAGATTAATAATATGGTTATAAAAGTTGTGACTTTTTATAAATGTTCAGTTATTGTTTTACACGTGTAGTCAGCTTATGATACAAATGTTTAAAAAGATTGTCTTTTTTTTTTGACATGCAGCGCACTGAGCGCAAGCAAATACGATGTTCCAAATCAGCCACCATACATCTCTCGCACTTTGCGGTTCAATGCACAGAAGTTAACTTACGGCGCTCCTTAGCCACCATACATTTTTAAAACATACCTTGTGATCGAACTATAAAAGTTGATTTCAACATATAGATCTACTGTTGCTGGGTTGAGGGAGTTTCTATGTTGAGAAATGTAGGTCATTAAGTTAGCTTTACTGCGGAATTCTTCACGTGGGCTTACTTTTAATTCACCTGAAATAAACAATTAATCTCATAATAAAAATACATTCAAAGATTTAGAATTACATTGTGTAGAAGCATTTGCAGTTTAATTCACTTGAGAACAGCGACAATAAAAGTTTGCAGTTTCTTCATAAAAAAATTCACACAAAAAATCGTTAAAGGCGCATTTTGCCTCAGAAACATTTTTTTAAATTTTTAGAAACGGCAAACACGAATTTTATAATGTTTAAATAATGGTTTTAGAGCATGTTTGATACTTGTTACCGGTAGAAAATAGCGCAAATTGTGAAATTATTTGTGATTAAAGGAGAAAAAATTAATGTCAAAAAGTAGTATTTTGACTTCCATACAAATACTCACTCACTACAGGGTTTTTCTATTTGAAAGACCGTGAACTTATTGGATAAAACAAGATGGTCCAGGTAATTGGCCAATGAGTAACGTTTTGGATACTATAAAAGTTAACCAAATTTAAAAACTTTTGAGAAATAAAAATAAAAGCATGTCTGAAGTATAATGTGCCTTTAAAGACATATAATGTCCCACAAAAGGAGCAATATTCCCTTCTTTAGAAAGGGCAAACATGGGTGTTATAATGTTAAATTTTAAATTATTCGACATTAGATTAGCAAAATGTAAACAAACTTCCATACAAAAAAATAGTAACTATACTTGTACTTTAGGGTGTTTTGAAAGGGTGTTTCAGGTTATTTGCGAATAAGTATCTTATAAAGAAAAAAAACATAACAACACACATAAATATAAAACAAGAGAAAAATTAATCGAAAAGCATTGTTTAAGCCACGATGGGCCTTTAAGTATATATAAGTCCGGTTCTGCCAATGCACTTTCTAGATAATTGCTAGCAGCAAGTATTGTCTTCAGATATGTTTGTAGATTACCAACGGAAAGAGAATATAAGAGAACTGATGACGTACTTATGCACGTACGTTATTATTTGACCTAATAAATGTGTTGACAAACACATAATTATTTGATTACCTTTGTTTCGAGGAAAAGAAATGATAATCTTATAAACTAGCTTCTACATTGTTTATATAACTGTGAACTATTTATATGTTCTGTTAAGATATTGGCATTGCACCGTCCATATTACCGACAACCGTTTTGCTTTGCTCTCATCTGGCGTTTATTATATAACACGAAATTAACCGTACTTAATAAGCCGGCATTCCATGAATGTGGATGTAAATGATGAAAGTTTCCCATAATTTCAGGAAAGAGACACCAGTTTGCAAGATTGATATGTTTAGCTTAACCTGTAGAACCAGAAATATTTGTATTAAATATCAGGCTGACCATAAATTTAATTCTCCACACGTTCTATATAGAGTCTAGGGTTTGAACACTTTGCTTTACAATGAATGTAAAAGTATTTCCCCCCCCCCCCCCATCACTTACCCGAGTCAATGTACTTAGGAAAATGATTGCAGTCATTTGAAAAGTTACTAAACTAAATATCATATACATTATCATACAAAAAAACAACAACAACAAGGAGAATATAATTTTGCGTCAAAGTGAATTGTTCTGTAGCGGAATGTCTGTAAAAGAATGAATAAGTTCTTTGATAGTATTTAGTATTAGACATAACAACAAACCACACAAGAAGTAATACATCCGATATTACATTTGAGCCGTGCCATGACAAAACCAACATAATGCATTTGTTACCAGCATGGATCCAGACCAGCCTGAGCATTTGTGCAGTCTGATCAGGATCCATGCTGTTCGTTTACCAACCCTTTTACAAGTAGAGAAACTGATAGCGAACAGCATGGATCCTGATCAGACTGTGCGGATGCGCAGGCTGGTCAGGATCCATGCTGGTCGCAAACCCACTATGTTGATTTTGTCGTAACGCGGCTCATATATTTATAAAATGTTCTAGAACAAAACATAATTCATCATATATATGTTCATACAAAATCATTAAGGACTTTATCATTATCTTTTTCAAGCAAACATTTATAAGAATATCGAAATGATATATTTCTATTGGTTTTTTTTATCAATATTTGAAATAAGTATGAAAGGTCTGCCCATTGTAAACCTAACCACTTTTACTGTTTCATAATACTAAAGTTACTTCCGTTTTAAATAGGTAAATATGATTTACTAACAGACTTAAATTGTCACTCCTATTATAATTATGAAAAAAAGAAAGCTACATAATTATATTGCCTGTAAATTATAAAAAAAATTACATAAAAACATCTTTCGCATTGGTCAAATGTTTACGATTGGTCAGTGAATATATAATCTGCAAACAAGTTTAATTTTGATCAGTATACCCCTTTTCAACTAGTTGTATTATCATACCACAACATACCTTTGAACAAATGCTTTAGGTGACGTATAAATCACTGTTGACATTGACCGTAACAATCAGAAGACAAATATTCCAAAATCAAGATATTTTGCAATAACAAGTACGGAATATGTGTATTTTTGGCTTGTTTATGTCACAAAATCAATGTATATCACAAATAGTTCCAAGGACAAGTTTTCATATACTATGAAAATGACTCGATCTGTTTTAGTCGTGAGCCCTCGGACGCTCTTCTGAGACGATTTCAAATAGCCGATATTATATGATTTTTATAAATATATATTTGTATCATCTTAAAAATAACTACGATGATGTAAAGGTTACACAGAAAATTTAGTAAATGAGTAGTATAAAGTTTTAACTTTGCATATAAAAAATACGTTGCTAGACAAAACCTTACATTACAACAGCGGAAAAAATTAATACTAAGAAAGCAGACGACACTGAATGACGTGAATACGTGAATACGTATGTTAGAAATTTTCATCAGTTCAATGGCCGTTTGTTTTTATGACACGAAATGACAATAAAATCTTTGCTTAGACAGGGTAAGTAACTGGATTAAACAATTTGGCACACAGGTAGTTGTTGTCTACGGACTTCCTGTTAGTAATTTCATGTCCTGGCAACCGACGTTGGCTCGATTGACGACAATTTGTCTTATATCTATCGGTTAACTTAAAAGGTTTATCTACGTCTCCCGAATGACAATCCTGTTGTTATAGAGTTACTTGCGTGATAACAAGAAACAAAACAAAGCTGACCAATACATATATAAGTTTAGGATTATCATGTAACTTGCGACTTACATATGACGCAAGTACTGTTGGACGTTGACCCGCACTTAATGTAACATTGACGTTAAACGTACATATCTAACGCTAGGAAACTCTGCAATGTTCATTCAGTTAAAAACAGTAAAAAACATTAAAAAATCTTTGATACAACCTGGCCATATTGAAAGTCTCTGTAGAGCGTCATCAGTGGCGATGTACTCAGCCAACAGGAAGGTTTTGGTACCCGGTCCAAGGTCACTTAGATACAGAACGCTCATGTCACGTTCACGTTGCAGACGATGTATCAGACGACCCAACATCACGACAACTGTCATTGATCTTTTAGCCTGTGAATAAAAAAGAAAAGCAATTAAAATGAAAAAGAATATATTAGAACATAATCTACGTTTTCAGACAATAAAATTGAAACAGTATTAGCCCAATCATAATATTTTGTTGCTTCAAACAGTTCATACTATCATCGTTATTTTATTTGGACATGCTATTATGAATAAGTAAGTACCAATAGGTCATCCGTTGGTAATGATATAAATGACAAGCTCAATATTCTTATAAAGGCAATGAACATTCTTCTGTAGGTAATTGGGTCACAGACGTGGACAGAAAGATTAGGAACATTTATTTTAAACATTGTTTAGCATGTATTATAAGATATTATACTAGTATTACGAAAATCCTCAACCAAGTTTTACTTTCCCTCTATTTTATATTGCAATCGCCACTTTTCGTTTTTTTGTAATATTTAGGCACAGGACTTATCATGGGAAATCGACACGCTAAGTCTCCCGGATGACATCCCCGTTGTTTACAAGTAATAATGACTTCACGAAGACAAAATGTTTTATGACCAATATCTAAAATTTATGATGTATTTCTTAATTCACGATAAAAAAAACATTTGAGCCGCGTCACGACAAAACCAACATAATGGGTTTGCGACCAGCATGGATCCAGAGTTCCAGACCAGCCTGCGCCTCCGCGCAGTCTGATCAGGATCCATGCTGTTCGCTTACACACCCTATTACAAGTAGAGAAACTGACAGCGAACAGCATGCGCAGGCTGGTCTAGATCCATGCTGGTCGCAAACCCATTTTCTATTTTATGCTTATGCAGCAGACGACATTTTCTTATCGTCAAGATTATTTCTTTTTTTGTCAGATTCGTAATTAAACGTCTAATGTGTCAATACAGCACCAAAAGTTCATCAAAAGTATAACTCTTTAAGATATGTAAATTTCTTCTTTTAAATTTATTTAAATTTATTGTATACGTATAAGCTTTTAGAATAGAGGTATCAAATGTTTCAAAACATGTCTATTACGTTGTTGTTTTTTTTTGCCTTCAGAGGTAATTACAAACTCACGTGCATGTCGTATTAAATTTATTTCTGTCTTTCTAGGTAGCTACGAAATAATACTTTAACATTTTGTTATTTACGTCACGTTTTCTCCATTTCACAACTTTGAATAGTAACCAAAAGAGCACTTTTTTCTCCAGGGTGTATATGTTTACGGATATTAATTATTATCAGTTCAAATTATTTCCGTCTAAATATATCTAAATGTGTCCTCTGAATCACCTTTAAAGCCGCTCGCCTCCAACGATCAAAGTTTCAAAGGAGAAGCAGAAAAATATCAGAAAACTATATTAAAAATAAAAAATTAAAGAAAAGTACATAAATTTACAATTTATATAATACTTACATGCTACGTGCATTACGCAAAGCATGACTGATTTTATCATTTTATCGACATATATTTACTCCATTACTAGCGCAAAAAAGAGAGCTTTTTTGTTTATTTTGTCACTTTTAGGAATATGTAAGTGAAATGAGCTTAATTCACACTATTCGCTTCACAATATTTTTGTTTGCTATTTGAAAAATTATATTGAAAAAATGCATGAATATGTAAACGTGCTTAAAATATTAAACAAATCTGAACATTAAATGCATAAATGATCATCTTACGACTTCAATATCAGATTTGCTCTTGACACTGTCTGACAAAGAGTACATCGTGAACCCCCACACCCCCATGATGGGGATAACAGTGAGACACAGGATCTTTATTAGCTGAAATCTCTTCCCCCTGTCCGTGAGAGGATTTACTCGACATAGTGGACCTGAAAAAAGGACAAAAAACGGTAAATAAAATAATATGTAACGTTTTGGAAGCGTTTAGTTAAATGTCGTCTTAAATCGTCGGATACATTTTTTAAGTTTTTGTGAAAGTATAGTAAATAAATAGATTGAAAAATAGTGAAACGAAAAGTAAAATTAGAATATACCTTTGTTATGATACATGTTATATGTTATATGTAACGTACACGTCATTTGCTAATTATTCTTTTCGTTATCTTAATGATAGATTAACTTTCACAAATCTTCATTTATTAGTATGTAACGAAAATTACGTTTATTTGTCACATGTTTTATTTAAGGATAAAAAAGACTTATAAATGTACATGTATACATTAAGTGTGTAACATACATGACACTTATAAATCACTGATAATTCAATGAATGATTAGAAAACATTCCTAAATGTAAATGGCAATGAGAGGATTGCCGAGTAGATTATAAGATTATAAGATAACTTGAATAAATGTATAACTTTAAGTGTGTAATGTACTCGACATTCAATAGGTACTTATGATACAATACAGTGAATTATAAGGCTATACTAATATTAGTTTGCAACGTACATTTTGAAGTTACATATGATGTAGTTAACGATAAGAAAAGCTTAAACAATGTACATGTAAGCCTAAGTGTGGAACGTACGTAACATTTGAAAGTTACTTATTACATATAGCCAATAAATGAACATATTTATAAAAATATGTACATCTTTTAGCACGTAACCTACGTGAATAAATGATAAGGAAAATAAAGGCTTATAAACGTGCATCTATTTGAATGTAACGTACGTGGCACTTAGAATTACATGTACTTGTTAATGATAGGAAAAGACTAATATATAAACATTCATAACTGTAACGTATATGCCATTAAGAAGTTATTTACTATTCGTATTTAATAATTAATGATATGAAAAAGGTTATTACATATACATTTATACGTATGTTATGTAGATGATATTTAGAAGTTACATATAATACAGTTAATAATAAGAAAAGGCTTGTAAATGTACATCTATCGGTATGAAACGTACAATACATTTAAAAGTTACTTATTATACATGTCGAATGATAAAATGCAAATAAAAACACAATTATAATCATATAGTACATTACATCATCAAGTTATTTTTAATTTATTTATAATTTCCTTATTATATAAAAAGCCTTATAAAATGACATTCATATAAATGTAATGTATGTGACATTTACAGTCTACTTATAATTCAGTTAATGATAAGAAAAATGCTTAAAATTGTAAATTACTGGATATGTAGAAGTTATATATGATTTTTTTTATAATTCAGTTAATGAAAAGAATATATGTATATTAATTCAAAAGTGTGTAATGTGTATATAACCGTACTTGGCAGTTAGACATTATTTATAATTTATTTAATTAAATGATAGCATTGTATTAAATGGAGTCAGGAGCAGCTATTTGTAAGTAACCGTGATTAAATAAAACTTATAAACATTTATTTTTGTAAACGTATCAAAATGTAAAGTTACTTATTAATACTATTTTGAATTCATTTATGAATAACATTTACAGTATATAATATAACGTGAGTGTGGTGCAGATTTCGGTATAGATCGAGATAATTACGGCACACAAGGTTCTTGAATCCCAACCCATTACTATTCGCAAAATAGTCACCGTGTATATATCCGTAACGTACTAATTCTGCAATATTAATTAACGCCTAATATGTTCAATATATGGTTGTAACTAACAAAACGGTAAGTAAATATACTATCTTCAAGAAAATCAATCTTAAAGAAATGAATTAGCGCATACGGTTGCTAAGACATAAATAAGAAAATATCTGCCTTTCAAGATAATTCGTGAGAATGACGCCATATCATCCATAAGGAAAACGATTTTTTGTGTGTTTCATTGATATCTATTTGTACAATAAACGCATATAGTACGTTAATGTTTATTTCGCGCAGCGTGGTCTTTTGATACTGTTTCACTATCTTATTGATCATCAATTTGATGCTTAAAGTCGTTGCCTACACAATCCTTAAAATTTTCACACACGATCAATCAAGTCAGTTCGTTTTTTCAATTGTGTAAGTGTAGTGTGTTCGGCTCTTAAAATAGTGTAGTTGTCAGGTCCGACTCTAAGCCACCAGTATATATTAAATGGCCATTAGTGTCAGCATATATAAAGTGGCTGGTACATACCACATCCAATATCTTCAAATATGTTGGTTTGAATCATATCAATAATTGCTGCGTTATTTACCGGCTCCGCCCCTTTTCTTAAATTCTCTACTCTGTAAACAAAAACTCGTCATAATATAACATCAATTAACTCATTTAGAACTGAAGAGAAGCTAAGCTCAAAACATATATATCATCAAATACGAAGACATGTGATTCTTTTTATTCTATCTCTGAATTATATAAAAGTTTGCTTTTGTATTCGCTCTTTAGTATTTTTCAAGCTGATCATCGGCTCTGGCATGTTCAGTTGTCAGTTCCTAGCGAAAGTGAAGCTACTAGTTTTTTGTAAACTGCTTGAAACGATGCGGTTGCTGAAATGTGCTCTGGTAAATTCAATGTGGCTTACTGCCATAATACCAACACCACACTTAAGATGCTTTGTTGGCATATTAAAATAAGGGTGGCAAAAAAGTTGAACCATGAATTTTTAAAGAATCATTATTTCTGCAACTTTTAATGCAAGATTAGAGTGTATAAAGCTGCTGCCGGACGCTTACAAAATGATAGTTTCATTTCTGAAACAAAATGGTTGTAAAATGTTTGTATAGAAAGAAATATGTTTGTATAAATTTCTTTTAAGCGAATGACGCATGTACGAAAAAACTGGTAAAACATTAAAAACCTATTTGAAATAGCAGAATAATATCTTATTCCGGAACGTTTTAGTCTGTCCACTATGGTGTCTCGTTAGGGCCATCAAGACACACACATAATTCGAAACAATGAAAACACGAAATGAAGATGGTGAAAAGGCGAAGGTACGATTATGAAAAGTCGAAAGTACGATGGTAAAAAGTTAAAATAACGAAACCACAATGGTGGAAACACGATATAGTTTCGTATTCGTATTTGGTATTCGTATTCGACTTTCTCCATCGTAATTTTTTTTTTCGTTGTTTCGAGTGATGTGTGTGAGTGTTGCGATTGCCCTAACAGGACACCGTTACTTAAACATAAATGACATAACCATTTAAGACATAACCATTTCAAGCCCTAGTGTCTTATCGGAACAATATATTTCATATTGTCCATGGCATATCTTGAACATTGCATAACGTAATTTATTATTCAGATTATTGTTGCACAATAAATATAAAATACCTTTTAAAACAACAAAATAAGGAAAAGAAGAAAGTAATAATACAGCAGTAAATCAGAAAATGTTTCCTATCAAATAATCAGAAATATTATATAACTTACTTCAAATCTGTCATTATCTGTCCTTGGTTTTTTATATGACTTTTCGTAGAAATGGCACGAAACACGTCCCAGAAAAACTCTCTTAACACAAGAAGAAAAAACGCTCGTTATAAACGAAAATTAAATAATTTAAGAAGTTAGAAACACAAGACGGTTTTTTTTTGCATTCATTTTCATAAAACACAACCGTTGCCATGGTATTGATGGACGTTTCTTTGAGAAATAAAATGTGTTAACAAGTAGACCGAACCTTGGACAACGCGCCGAATGTGCTAATATGAGTTTATGTAGAACATATAGACGAAGAAATCGAAGAAATTGTAAAGTATGTTAGAAATAGTTTACACGACAATGCAAGAATTGTAATAGCTCATGTGAAATACGGCATAAATTCTGCTAAAGAATTCTGATTGAAATGTTTTCATATATTTCTCTTCTTCCGGTTGCTATCAACTCGTCTATAAGTTACGTTGTATTTATTATTTTATCAATTGTTATAGCGTAACCGAAAAACGAGACTTTGAAATATAACTTTGAAATAAAGATATTGCCGGTCATTTACTTCAAATCTGTAACCATCTTACTATATTTGAATAAAAGTCAACATCAAGCGGGAAAAAAATGCGATCGATAGTAAATCAATCGAAATACATCATAGTGCGCGCCAAATGTGCTGGTGCTGTTAAAATGGTGATATCGTAGAATTTTCCGACAAAAATGTCAAGGGTATGCGGGGTTTGAGATTCATTCTACTAAGAGAAAGGGTAATTTTATTCCGATAACATTTTCGTTACGACTCAGGAAACGTTGAGGCTATGCCCCTTTTAAGGCCCATTATACCCCGGAAATAATTATATTTTCATTTCTTTAAGCTTTTTATTTGTGCCAATAAAGTTACTCATATGCTAATAACCTAATGTTTTTGCTTCTGCTGCATGCATTTCGACAATTTGTAAAAATATAGAGATTTAGTATTTTGAATAAAAGTCAATCTACTGCTTTGTTTAAATTTTGCTACCTTTATAACAAATAATGTATTACCATCAAGTGCTACTTTCTTTAGTTTGTAAGCATCTAAAATGCCCTAACACCATTATTTCAACTTCATTAAACTCACGTTTGTCAAAAATTTTCATTTCTGAGGCTCAATGGTCCTTTAAGTAACAGTTTATTCTTAAACAACGGAAAGACCAAGACTAACACGAGAAGAAAAAAATCTTAATATCTTAATAAATATTTACTGCGCGTTTATTTCTTATATAACAATCACAAGGAAAGGGGAAATAACTCAAGACAGACAACATGGCATTCTCTCACAAAACATTACACTATTGCGGTTAACATTCCTTCATTATTTACAACATGTCTTGTCTACACCTATACATTATATATCTTGCTATCTCATTAAACAAGAAGCTATAATATCTGACATATTCCATGAATGAAAGTTCTTGGCAAGGACAGAAGACTGTATGATATAAAGTAAACATATAGTATATTATATACACATACAGTAACGAGGGGTGTATCACACATAGACAACTGGAGTTTACAATACTAGCATAGCATGAATTTCATCGGTTGTCTCACTTTGTAGCTTTGATATAATATAAAAGTGAGGAAACTTAGATGTACATGTGATTAATGTCTCTGACTTCTAATTATAGTAACCGCCCCCCTCCCCCTCACTGCTGTAGGTATGAATCCTGCATGGAGCTTAGATATTTTTTTACGCGAAGAGGCTATCCAGTTAGCTAACGGAAGATAGGTTGTTCCACTCAGGTGTCCGCTCGTGTCTGAAATAATAATAATAATAATGATAATAATAATAATAACACTCATAAAAGTAATAATGATGATGATAGTGGTGATGATGATGATGATGACGATGATGATTTTGATATAATGACAACAAAAACAACAACAACAACAGCAGCAGCAGCAACAACAACAACAACAACAATAACAATAATAATAATAATGATAATAATAATGATAATAATAATAATAATAATTATAATAATAATGATGCTTATTAATAATAAGTGCTTGTAGTAAATCCGACCCTTTCTTTAAACATTAATTTACCATCAATGCACAAATTACAAATAAAACAAATTAACGCTCAGATAATATTCAAGATTATTTGTTTTAACCAATATTCAAACCTTTAATTATAGGACCACACAACGTTTATCTGTAAAAGATGACAAGTTTATGTTTAAACATTTTTTGTCGTTCTTTAATCAATATTTAAATTTTACGAAGATATGCGATATTTTACCCGCATTAACACGTTATTAAAATATAGTATTTTATTCCCTTCCTGTCCCAATACGGTTTGAGATATACTGAATATATTAATGACTAGTTTATGAATGAAGTTGTAATACATATACGCCAGCTGTGTGAATATAATGTTAACAGGTTGTTTTGTGTTCATTTTATTTATAATTTGATTCAAAGATTGCATTGTATATCGCAATGAATTGTGGCTGATTTTGAATTATAAAGTGTTTATACGATATCGGACTTAAACTATGGCGATGTGCAATTTATACAGGAATTAATAATCTATGGAAATGCAAATTTGATAAAACGGTAAGCTGTTAGACTTGAAAATAGACTATGGAAATATTATATTAAGTAATGTACATATATTTTGTAGTTTTTGACTTAACCGTAATATCTGTATATAAACATGTATATACTACACAAATATATATCTTAAACGCTGTGGAAGAGGAATTGTAGTGTTTACATTATATTCAATGTGTTGAGTTTAAACATTTTTTCTGTGTATATGGATAAATAAACTATTTCAATACAAAATGCATACATATCGGATTACAAGCATACGAAAATACACAATATTTAGCTCAGGTAATTGTAATCTTCGTTGTATTAACATATTTGTGGTGTATTTAAATATTTATAATAAACATTCAACTGTTATGTGTAATTTTCTATCCGAAGAAAACAGAACTGCACCGAATAGAACAAAATATATATTTAGAACAATCTGTGAGAGGTTATTTTACAAATTACATATAACCAAAATCCTTTTCACCTATCTGTTTATTACATGTAATATCTTTTAATATTTTATGATATGTATATTCACATCTATATATTTTAAAAACCGTTCATGTGCAGATTCCTTAAGCTATTGACACATTGTATTCTAAATTGCCAATACATTCCTTTTTCCCCAAATATATATTTAAAAAAAAACATTGTAAACAATGCGTTTCTTCTTGCATTCAAGCTTGCTTAACTTCTACATAATAGTATTTTTTTTGTTTGTGTTACGGTACATCGATATACAATCATTCGTGTAATGCAGGTATTAATAATTTTAAAACATAATATGGCGTATTTACAGTCTCTTTTCCATGTCTGAAATATTAACAGATATTAATTGTTTTACCATGTCAAGATGATGATGATGTTTACCGTTCAAAAGCTGCAGAGAGGGCCCTTCAGGAAACAATTGCTGAGCACTGAGATGTGTTACCTAGCCCCGTGATTATATATAAATTCTACAAGCTCAAACTCAGATCCTAGGTATTTGATTGATCAGAAACTGTCACAAAATGTACACTGATCAATGAAAATCCTGAGATTCGAGACAAAACTAAGAAAAAAAGTTATATAACCTCGAGGCCAGAAGGAGGCGTATAATTCAATATGAAGACTTTCTTTAGGAAGAATTGATACTGTTTTTGTAAATAGATTATTGTTCTTTAGAGGGTCACTATGTAGAAGTTGGACTGTATGAACATTCAAATTTAATTTTAAAGAAGTAATGCTATTGTTTGAATATTTCTACTTACTTTGTTACGAAATATGCAAATCTTTTACGGTATATTTGCTATATTTTACAATATAACAATATGTACATTTTTCCTCATTTCAGAGTATGTAAAAATGTAACGTTATTGAGATTTAATTTTAATTGTTTAGAGTATTTGGCATAGTTCATTCTGCTGAATTTTAATAATCAGACATGCATTTCTTTGTGAATTCAAACAGCACCCGACTGATTATTGTCATGTGCATCTATAATCTGTATAAATTATTATTTCTGTTTTGTATAATTCAGCTGTTCGGCTGTCGCCGGTTATAATAACGAACGGATAAATGAATGAATGAATGAATGAATGAATGAATGAATGAATGAATGAATGAATGAATGAACCAACGAAGACCGAACGAATGAATGAATGAATAAATAAACGAACAAACGAATGCAATAATTTATGAATGGATGGATGAATGGATGAATGAATGAATGAATGAATGAATGAATGAACCAATGAACAAATGAACGAAAGAATGAATAGTCTCTTTCAACTATTTAATTTGATAATGACATCAATCTCACAGAATCAGGACTTTATTACACAACTAAATGATTAAATGGTATATAAAATATTTCATGGAACAATTCTTTATTATTTAAATACGGTTAACCGTATTTAATAAAAAATATTTTGAACTGAGAATTAGTGTGTGTGTTGTTTTTTTTATTATTGATAATGCATATTTTTCTGTTCCGACGAGGTGTAATTTAATACCAATTTGATAACCCATGCTGATATTCCTATTTGATGAATCGAGTATTTACACTTATAAATGCTTTATAATATTTGGTAAAATTTGTCTACATTTTCTTTGTAACGTTTGTTTTATTTTTTTTCAATTCCTATGAAATTTAAAACCCACTACTGATGCAGCTTTGATAATAAATGTATTTTTTTCGGACTACACGATTTACAAGTAAAATACTAAGAATTGAAACAAGTTAAGAGGAATATATATATATATATATATATATATATATATATATATATATATATATATATATATATATATATATATATATATATATATATATATATATATATATATATATATATATATATATATATCATAAACACTTTGTTTAAGTACTAATATTCAAATTGTACATATTACTAAATATGCATACGTATATACGTACACATGAATCCATTAAGTGAATGTTAAGTAGAGGAAGGAAGTGTATTTATGAATAGCAAAAGAAAAATTAAACTATCTTGTCGAATGTGTTATAAAAAGGATTAATTGGAGGAATATAAAATGGTATGTTAATTTCAGTCATCGTCTATTGGTTTGTAACTTAAAATTCAAATTTTTGTAAAAATAAAAGATCTATGTTGTAGGAAAAAGATCTCCGCTGTATTTGTACTTAACGTACATGAATGTTTTTAAAGCCAGTGTGAAGAACAAATAGAAAATAGTTTGTCTTTGATTTTCAAAAAAAGAAGAAACTTTGACCTGTTTACTGTAATATTATTAGGCTGTATGTTGTATAGGTTAACTGGAGTGAAGTGGGTTAGGACGGAGACAAAAATATATGTCTGAAGTATGGAAGACCTGTTGGGACATTTCAACTTCTGAATTCCGTATGTTGAAAACGTGAATTCACGAAGTTGGTGAAGATGAACCCAATAATTCGAGAAGTTGAAATGTCTCCACCGGTCTTCCGTACTGAAGGTGGTACGCCTACAGATTTGTATGCATTTGCATGGTTATTTATAAAATAAATTGTTCCATTTTTTTGTAAATTCGCTGTCAAGTGTTCAAACTAAGTGACATAATCTAGTCCCTATGAACTTATCGTCATTAAAATTTATAAAATACACGTTAAAACATACAGGAATAGCCTGTACGAGGTCGAAATATGGAGACAAAAATAATGAATGATGTCATATTTCGTACTTAACATGAACAGTGTATTAAGCCTTAAACTATTTATATGATTTTGATAATAAGAATATTAAAAAGAAAGTATTTTAACTAAAAGAATGTAGCTGTAACTGGCGAATAATGCTAACTCAAAATTATAAAAGAAGCGTCTAACTTCTTGGACAAAAAATAATACACTTTAAATAGTATGGTATCATGTTTACAGCATTGAAAGAATGATTATTATCTCAGGCATATTAAAATATTCAATCAAAGGTCATTAGATAAACGTGTTTCGGATCACAAGTTTAAACTTTTAAAACGGAAGTTAAATTGTATAGTACATGGATACTTCTCAAGTGTTATATATTTCATAAATACAATAACTTCATTCTGTCACGTTTTCACTAAGTTATTTAGCCTACTTTGTTGTATAGTTTCAATTACGCAATATATTGAGGCTACTTAAGCTTTTTTTCTATAAAGACACATTTTTTTTCACCGAGTGGCATAAAAATGCATATTTCATGATTCTTTCATACCACAATATGAAAAAAAATTCCCGTATCTATAGAAAAATCTTGATTTTCTGTTTATTTTATACATTTTCTCTTTTTGACATTACATTATGATAGACTTCCTCCTAAAATTGTGTGTATTTGCTGAACTTAAAAAAAAGTTTTCCGGTTACTGGCATGCGAGCAGTTCCCGTACAGAAGCAGTACCCGAATTTTTCATTTAAACGCTTGATTTTTACTTGCATTCTTCAAAAATTCATTTCAAATCAAGCAGATACATAAACGAGACAAAATCTAAGTGTCAGTTCGGCAGTACGTATATAAAGTCTCATATTAAATCACTTTTACCTGTGCGCCGTCAAAACGTGACCTTGTTTTCTCTGGGGGATTCCGTCCTTAAGCGCATGCGCAAAAATACTTACACGTGAGGCTTGTTAAAGGGTTTTCCACTAATACCACCTGTTTACAAATAAGTAGGCAATGTGATGTAAACTTGTTTAATTATCAGAATGTTGACCAATATTACTATATATAATAATTTTATGGCTTTGATGCGTAAAAAATCATGCATACAAGCATGCTATTGCATGTGAATGCGTTGGGGTAACGGTACCGGGTAATTGATACCCGCGTTTAGTCTACGCTCTATTTGCTGAATTACATCTATTTATCTCTTAGATAATGGTATGTTCAACAATTGTAAATGAAAAATAGGTCCGATATAATAAAATTGTATAATTATAATGGGTTAGATTTAATGTACGGGAACTACTTCTCTTCATACAAAATAATGGATAATTTCGGTACCCCATATGAGGCCTCATAACTAAGGGTTGTTCTATGTTTAGAACATAATGGAATTTCCATGATTTGTGTGACGAGCTGAATATTGATGTGTAACATTCAAATTTTGGTAAGTGAGCGTAATAAAAAATAATGTTTAAGTAACTATGATTTTTGTACGGGAACTGCTCGCATGCCAGTAGACACAAGTTTAAAAAAACGGAAAATATGCTTCACTGCAGTGAAAAATCAAAATATTTACAATGGAAATACTGAAAATGAAAATACGCATTATATTTCATCAGTAATTCTCAATATTTCATTTAAAAGAATATAAGAAAGAGAAATAGTTTAATATTTTATATCGTGATATATTTAACAACAGGTTGTTACCAATTAGAGGTTTTTGTTTGCTGATAAACTGTAAACAAACGAATGTAACATCTGCTGTCAATAATATATCTTTATTGTCCCTGTAAGATCATACAGAAAAAAAGAAATTAAAAATTTTACATGTGTAACGGTTAAAGGGATTCCACTGAGGTTTTTTGACATGATGGGACTGAACAGATAAATTACCATTTGATGTAGGTTTAGACCATTAATCTTTGTGCAAAATTTCAGATCATTCGCGCACCTAATAGTTATTCAAATCGCAAAAAATGACCAAAAAAAAGCGTTTAAAAGCTTTCACTCAAAAAGGGCTAAGAAAAGCATAAAAATATGATTTTCAATTTATTTCAATGTACAATGTATATTTTTTTTTAACTATCTTTGCATATATTTCTCTTTAAAGTGCCCCAACTCATGTATGTAGGAAATTCAAATGTTATGTTTTTTAGGATTTTAAACCTCAGTGGTGTCCCTTTAAGCTTTCACTTTTGACTATGATTAAAATAACGGGCATAAACATTATTTTGCACGGATGAAGTTAAAAAAAAGGAATTTATTGATTTTCAATAATTTATAATGAGAACGAATTCAGCATCTGTCACTCCTGTAAAACCTTTGTCTTTCTACTTGTCTTTGTTCATGGTTATATTGTTACATTTTAAACAATTAATTTAACAATATTCTCAAAATAAAAATTAGATTTTTCTGTTATAATTGTTCGATGTTAAATTTATCATTTTAAACCTTTCGACATGATAAATATCTATTTAATATTTTATTTCAGGTACTTTAGAGAAGGGATGTTACATTGACAAAATACACCTGCACCATGCTGCAATATTAAAATGAAGACCACGTGACATTAGCAATGTATTGACACATTCTATATCATCTTTATACACGCATCAACAACAAAAAGTAACAGATAGACTCACTAAGCCACAATGAGTTGGTGAATAAAAAAGCCTGTGTGCAAAAGTGTAACGAGTTTACGGGTCACAGGATACCAGTATTTCTGATTTACCTCGTTTACATGCCTCATAAAAGACGTAAAGTTTGAGGAGAAATGTAACATCTTAAAAACGATCTGTGATTTGTAAACGGATTTGTTTGACGAGTTTGAAGAGGTTATGAAAACAGCATATAATTCACAGCGTGAAGAGAAAAATACGTTAAAATTAAACCGGTCCGGTTATTCATGACGTATAGATGTGTAAATATATATCTTTAAACTAGTGTGGTAAAACGATATGATAGATTGATTATTAATATGAAACATTTATAGAAATATTTAGTTTGGAAAGGGATTTATTACATAGTATCGAAGGTTTGTGACAAAACAAATAGAAAGCGGAGCAAACAAATATGTGAACTAAACCGGGTCATCTGTGACTAATTAATACATGTGGGGAAATTGTGGAAATAATGATATTCATAACATATGAAAAACATTTTTAAATATAAAATTGGATGTATGGGGATGTTTGTATCGTATAAAAGTACAATGATAGTGTTTGCAAGTATATAGGAGACTAGATTAGACCAGGCTTGACTAGACAAAGTTCACATAAACAGAGTAGTTAAAAACCTAGTGGTTTAATTCACCATGACATTTGTTGGCTCGCTCATGCATGATTTCCAACAATAAAAGATTGAAATGAAGTGAAAAATATTTTAAACACGAATACGTGCCGAAAGGTTCAAGGAATATACGGGCTTGTGTTGAGATTTCACACGACCAAAGCCTTTTGATGATGCAATTATTTGTTAACTGCTTTTACGCCTGTATATTTCTGTGGTGTTTGAAAACGGGTCATGCTGCATCCAATTCGGTGAACACAACTGATGCACCAAACGTTGAAAACAAAACTATGTCTACAGTAAAGTTAAATGAAACAACAAAAGACATGCTGAACACTAAATCAAATAGTTTTGATATTGAAAATATGAATTTTACAGAGACTTCCCCTTCATATATTGATGATAAATCTGCCAAAATTAGAAGTCAAACGGACGTAACAACTTCAAAGTTTGAAAACAGTACAGATGACGAAGAAAACGATACTAATAACGCTGAGTCTGGTTTCAATATAGCTTTAATACCAGCCGCTGCTGTGTTTATTTTAGTTGTTATAATTTGTTTCAAATGCTGCAAGTGGTTTCGGAAATACACAAAGGGAGATGATAAAGATGTTAAATACTACGCAGTGATTCTTACAGATGATGACGAGGGTCATGTGAATATTGACACCATTTCATCCAACACTTCTCTTCTGACAAAAAGTGATAAAACTGATAAAGAGGACATAATGGAATCCTATAGAAACTCGCTAAAAGGGAACAAAAACAAATTACCTCCACCAATTAGAAGTGTTGGCGACCAAGCTGTTATGTATGATAAACGATTGTCGAAATCTTCATTGTCTAATGATAGAAAGGAGTTTGCCTACAATCCTATAGTCAGTTCCGTGAAACGCAATGCTAAATTGAGCGTGTCATTTAGTGAAGCATCAGAATTATCAGACTTTGAATTAAGTGATTTTGTTGGAATGACAAAACAACCAAATAACGTTCGCTGCTCTGTAAGAAAATCAACAACGGACCAATCCGACGTTTCTTCAACGAAGAGTTCACCTGTCAAAGCTGTAACGGAAAAGATGATGACTAATGTTGGTACTCAAACTAACAAATCATTTAGGTCTAGCTTACGCATGTCAAAAGTGCATATGAGCGAAAGTGATATAGAACGAAGGAACACACGTAAGTTACGCATGCCATCTCTAATGATAGATGCGCAAAAGTGCCAAGCAAGAGACGGAACTGACAGTGACACTAGCAAAACGGTTGGTGCAAGCGAATTTAATAAGCTTGCAACACATTCTGATTCAATACCAGTTAAGGACACACATAGTTGTAAGGCTAATCTTTCACAAATTTCAAAATATCCGATTGATACAAATGTCGAGGTAAAAGAGAATATTGGAGAAACTAAAGTCGCAATAGAGATCGATTCTGATTTGTTTGATGACGTTTTTGATGATGATGTGAAAGAAAGAAACTCCCCACAAAACGCTGATGATATGAGGCTCTCTTCACGACCATTTTTAAACACCCTTAAAAATGACCAAACAGGAAGAGTGGATCACGTGAACGGATCATTTGCTCAAACTAGCACATTTTTATGTAATATTTGCAATGCAAATCTTAGAAAAGACATCGAAGAGAATATATGTGATACAGACGGCTTATGTCTTCACGATGACATTCCAACGACTCGTGTATTGTGTAATGGATGCAAATTATTAAATATGAAAGAGAAGACAGAATTATGTGAGACAGCTAATTCTGAGGCAAATGAAAGGACGTTGACAAGTCAGTGCCATGACACAAAGGTGAATGATCGACCAGCAAGTTCTTCATCCCTGGAGAGCAGTGGATACGCTGAATTGTCTTCCAGTGAATATAGCTCAGGTTCACATTAACATATTTATTGACGTTGGTCAATTCATGTTATTCCATAATGCTATTTCCAGATATAGACTGTTATATTCTTAAGTGCAAAACGAACATGTACAAATATGCTTCTCATTTACCTCTTTTTAACCCTGCAAATGGAAAAGGTATGCACTCTCGCCTATTGTATGCAGTGTCGAAATGATCTTTTAAAAAGATAAAAACGATTTAGTGACTAGATATTGGAAACTTTCAAAATTTAATGTTATTCTCTCAATTATTAAGCTCAAGCAAGCTATACGAGGTTAAATTCAGCGTGCATGGGTTTGTTAGTCTTTGTTTTAAGTTTTGTGCGTTTTTTATATAAAAATCTGAAAACAAAGTGATCCCTCGGAAGCATTAATCACACTAAAATTACAAGAGAATTGCAGACTCGGTTTGATTGAGTCTGTACATGAGAGATAGAACAACAGCTTTGCTTTGACATATGCTATTTTTATTTTACACTTTTATTTTCCAAAAGTTTTTCTTATATTTTATTTTACACTCATATTGAGTAATATCATATTTGAAAAGCAGAAATCTAATTACATATATTATATAATTAGATATTGGAATATTAAACACCCAAAAGATCCATTTAAGTTTTAACACCAAAAATATCCAAATAAAATTTTAACATAAGAATTAAAAATTCTAGAAAAAGTTACTAAAAATTCTCAGCCACCCTTTTATCTTTCTGTACGCATTTGCTTCTTTGCGATTGGGCTTACAGCATTAATAACCTTCACCCTGCAGAATTTGTTAGATGCTTTTGCGAAGCTTTGAAATTGGAACAGTATCAATATCAAAATATAAAAATTGACATAACAGTTAAAGAGCCTGCCGGACCGCAAGGATGCGTATGCTGGCCTGGCACTATACTGGTGGCAAATGCTTAACTTGTTTTGATACACAGAAGGTTAATTGTTTAAGTTAATTGCGTTATGCTCAAGTTATGTAAGATAATCTCTACTGGTATCAGGGTAACATACAACATTGTGTATTATAAATTTTGCAATTTTATTAATAAAACACTCGCATAATATTTCCTTTTATATTAAATTATAAATGCAAATATATACATCGATTTTTTTTATTTCAAAACGCCAATACAATTATACGCATTTCATTCAACAAATATATATTTTATTACATGTTGATTTCTTTAAAGAAAAATATTTTCACATGTATCTCACATGAACTAAATAAATGTAAAGAAATTCAATGTGTTTATTTATGTCTGTTTGAATCAATCGGAAAACAAATTTGATGTGTCAAACAGGTCTTTGTGTCCTCGTTTAATTTATTTTTGCTTTGACCTAATCCTTCAAAACACAGGCGCTGTATTTGGTTTATATATTGCTTTTTATTTCGGGATTTTATTTAGAATTTCAATGAGGCATTTCAGGTAGAATTAATTTAAACTTAATTTATTTAATTAAAATTGGAACATCGAATGGATATACCATACCAGTATATACTGTGGCAAAGGAGTGTATATTCTACAAATTTTGCAAACTGTACTGAAGTTTTATTAATTTATAAATTATAAATCAGCTTCATGTGAATCCTTAGTCATTAAAAGACAACAACACGAAAATCGAAAGAAAAAGAAAGAAACAAAACAAAAACTGAGTTTATTTTTGTTTTACGTTTATCCTTTTAACCTTTTACCCCATGAGCATATTGTGAAAAAATGGCCGTTTTCATTGAAAAGCCTCCTGTAACATGTTCCAACTGCTATAAAACTATGAAAAATGCTTCAATACTGATGAAACTTGGCACATTTGTTGACTGAAATTTCCTGTTATCATGGCAACGGAGGGACGTCTCAAATTGCGAAAAATAACTATTTTGCATTGTTTTTTTCATCAAAACTGATTTCAAAGTGCTGTGCATCCCCCTTCTGGCAACCCCCTGATGTATCATTTTTATGGGGGGCCGCGCCGAAAAAGTTGTCACTTTTTTTAACAACAAAAAACAGTGTTTTGGGCCTAAATAGGACACTTTTTAACTGCTTGAGGTCTCAAAAGAAGGGGGGGGGGGGGCAAAAAGCCGTCAAAACACGCTTATATCAGGGAAAAGGTTAATATTTCGAAAAAAAATCGAAACTGTCAATTGTCAATTTTAATTTCGGGATGATCAAAATCAAGTTTAACCGCCAACATTATAGAACATGGCCACACTGTATTCTACTTTACTGGTGCAATGTTTATGGCACTTAGAGGCACCAACCATCCGAAATCTTTTTTGTATTTTCTGTACTCGAAAACTCCTAATAAAAAAGGACAACAGATCGAAGTCAGCAGCCGCGAATGCCTTTCTGTTATCTTTAAAATGTAATAAAATAATATGATATAGATCTTGTCATATACATAAACGTCAGGTGTTGGTTTCGACATTTGTAATGGGTGAATGTCCGACTGGCTGTAATGCATAATACCCACACCGCTTTTGCGATTCTGAAACGGTAGTGCAAGGCCGTGCATGTATTTTTATACAAACATAGAGTAAATACCCCCTAAATGTTCGCGTTATACTATATAGGCGGATCAATAACTTAAGAGAATTATTTTCACTGGAAGCAATTATGATGTTGGTTATGTGAGTAATAGTATTTTATATTCGTGTAAAGTCACTATTTTTTATTCATTGAATAAAATAATATCATGCTCCCCAGAGGCTCGCAGAATATAATTTTATAGAACTCGTTAAATAAATTCAGTACCGAATCATCTTCTATATATTTTATATCCAACGAACAGTTGTACAGTCTTAGAATACAGCATATACAACATAAGTAAGACGGACTCTCTTTCTCTGAAAGAAAACACATTAGTTTGATTATATCATGTGAGATTGTCTGTTAGCTGCTGTTTGTTTACAACATGATGTCATGTATACATATAACCATCACGTTACATAACTATTGACGTCAATGTGTCTAGTATATACCAAAATACTGGAGTTATTACAGTTTTTGGATTATCCTTGTAATTCCAGGACGAAATCTACAATGGATTCGGTATTCTTAAAGTTCTTTTTAATTATTAAAGATTACAAATTCCATGACAAATTCAATTTAGGGTCATGCTATTAAATCATAACAAGTAGCTTCATGTCAAGGGTCTACTATGACATGATAAAATGTAAATCAGTCACATTTTTCTTCAGTTGTTTGGCAATTCAAGCGAGTAATATTCTGAGAACCATATACATTGTTCAGTACACAAAGTCTTTTGACTTATATTGGACGAATACACAGCTGTGAAACCTATATTGGACGTGGCCATGTATAGCCGAGTCTGATATAGGATTTGCAGCTGTATATGAGAATCGGTCTTTTTCTGATCGGTCTTTTTCTTAACAGTGATGATGATCTCGTTACTTCTAACCACAATTTCGGGGACATATTAACAGTACTTTGTTACTATAAGTACAAAAAGTATTTGTTATACATATTTGGCTCTGAAAATAAAAAACGAAGATAGATGGAGTACAATTAACAAAATTGATCAAGATATTATGAACTCTGAAAATGAGACTATATGTGGTACGATATGATTTGATAAAGATATTTTGAACTTTGAAATGAAAACGAGTAGGGTCTTACGTAGAATTTAAAGAGTTTTCGATGAAGCGTAGTATTTAAGTAGCGGACTCTGACGTAATACAGCGGTGGCCCTGACGTAGAGGAGAGTTAGCTTCGTCGTAATAAAGCGTTTGCTATGAAATAGTTATAGTATACGAAACGAGTTAATTACAGGGGTATAACAGTGGCTTGGGCGACATCTCGGGATGTTTCTGCAAGATAAAATCCTCTCGGCCTGTGGGCCTCGACATTTTTTGGAAGAAACATACACATATGTATAAAAGAAATAAAGAGATGCTATTGTTTTAAATGCCAAACATTTCCAAATGTACAAAATAAGCATGCGCATATATGATAGCAAGAAATAATGAAGAAAATGAAGAACAAAGAAAAAGAAGAAGGTGATGACGAAAAACTAGAACATGAAGAATAATACAAAAAGAACAACAAGGAAAAAAAAGAACAATAAGAACAAGAAGAAGAAGAATAAGACGAAGAAGAAAAAACAACAAGAAGAACACAAAAAAGTCAAAGAAGAATGTGAAGAAGAAGGAGGAGATGATGATGATGATGATGACTTACAATAATAAAATTTATTCAAGTTATACATTAACATGAATTCTGTTATGCATTATGATCAAAATAATTTACAATATTAATCACGAATACTTAAAACATATGTACATTTATATTCTACATATGAAATATCAATTCCCTGTGAATTATTTGTCCTTTTCAGCAAAGTGTCCCCTATTTACTTATACCGTAATATATATCGTAATATCTATGATGCACTGATGCATTTGTGCACATTTATTTGAAGCACTCGAAAATGGAGGGAGGTTCTCATACATTAAATTTGGTCTACTTCAATAATTTTATGTAAATTATCAGATAACAAACAAAGTGTACTTTGTATAAATGTTTGTCAAGAAATGCTTCAGAAACACAGATAATATGCTCATTTTTAAGCTTTCAAGTTTGCTTTTATTTGTGAGAAAACAAGGGTTATTTTTTACGCAATAGAAAATAATAAATTAAGTTATATAAAGATCTCATATATGAAAAAAATGTATTAATCAAAGCGCTGAACGCACGTTTGAATTTTTGTTCCATATAGAGGTCACTCCGTGAGTTTCAAAAATTGATATCTTCATATGGTAAAAATGTCATAAAAGCTAATATATTTTTCAAAAGAAATGTAAATATCTCTGCTATATAGCATTTATTAAAATATTTCTAGGCACTGTGTCTTTGATAGAATTAGATCCGCAACAAAACAAATAAAAATATTTTCAGGCAATCTTTCCATTGCAAAGGTTTTTTGAGAATTTAAGTCAGTCAACACTTAATTTTAAGGGCACATTATGGTTCCGGAAAAGATAACGTAGCAAAATATAAACAAAGTAGTATTTTGAATTACATACAAAACAATATAATCACTATAACTTTACTTATTGCCAAAACACAACAAAAAAAACACATGGTTCTTGTAATTGGCCAATTAGTAATGTTTTGAAAACTACAGAAGTGCACAAAAAATAAACGTTTTTGAGAAATAATATTAAAAGCATTTTTTTTGGGGGGGGGGGGCATAATGAACCTTTAAGCTTTATTAGCACGCTCTAAATTTGGCCTCATTTTATCTAGCATTTAGTGTATTCCTGACATTAATTTATCATCTGTTAGCATTGTTTCGAACAGTAAACATATCATTACAAAAACCAAACGTACCAAGTGTGTATGAGATGTTTTGAAAACATATGTCACAATATATCATTTACGTTTGTTATGTATAAAATGGTGTTTACTCTCGTCTTTTTGACGGTTAGTTAGAAACAATAGAGATTACTACACGTATGATGTATCTCTATCAAATGTGGAAAATATTCTTACTCATGAAGGAACTTTGTTATCCATTTATAACTGGTAAAGTACAGAAAACGTTATATCAATATATTCATTATCAATTGACAAATTAATTTATACTGGCTGCACAGGTTTAAGAGATACATTGTCTAATTAAATTAGTGTTTGTCCTATAGGAACTTTTATTTATATGCAAGAAAAAGAAGGAAAGAAAGACCTAACAGTCAAAACCAATTACATTATTGGTGTATCAAAACCACACAATGTGTGTATCAAAACCAATTACATTATTGGTGTATCAAAACCACACAAACAATATAAGCACTTAACCTGTTAGAACCGCAAGTGGTCGACCTTTTTCATCCGAGCAGTGTGACTTTGATCTTTGCTGTTGATAGCACCATATTTTTATATTTAAACCCCTTATAAAACAGGGCAACGTAAAGTATGGTAGCGGCTTTGTGCCATGTCGTATTTTCGTTCGGCGGGACACCAGGCGAAAACAAGACAATACGACAAAGTGGTGATTTGGTGGTATTAATGTGTTTTCGCCTTGCGCTCCGCGGAGCGAAAGTGCGACATAGCACAAATCAGTCACCATAGAAAAGGGTTATATACAAAATATTTTTAATTCAATAATCTTTATTTTTGTCTTGGTAACAACCGCCTTGTTTCCGGCTGTCATAATTCACATGTTCTGGCAATTAGTCTATGTCTTTGAAAGCAAGTAACAAACCAGTTTGAATATGCACACATTTATCTAC